ACGATGTAGCCACAGCTGTCCCGGGGCGCACTTACAGAGGCAAGGCCTGCCATACACAGGCACCACCGGCAGGCAAGGTGAGTTAAGTGTCTTGCTCAAGGACACAACAGCAGCATTCTCTGGTAGGATTGAACCTGCAACCTTCCGATTACTGGACAACCTGCTCTATCTCCTGAGCTACTGCTGTCCCAATAACTGGTTAGCATTTACTGTGGCATGTTTATCATGGAGGAGCCTGAGAAGAAACAAAGAAAACATTTATCTGATGAAGGTAAAAAATAAAAAGAGCGTCTAACCACAATGGGGTCCAAAAAAAAAAACATCAGAATTTTTCATGAGCACTCAGAGACAAATTGGATGCAGATCTAACGATCATCCTATTGACTTGTAAGTATAACTTGAAGATGTTTTGTTTGAGCAGGTTTTAGATTTCCCTGGGTTTGTTTGTCAGGCGGTAGTGACTGCATCCCGTCATTTAAAGGATTACAGTTAAAGTTTGTTTATGTACAAAAGCTTAAGCCGTCCTGCAACACTACCACACCATCCCACACACACACACACACTACAGCTCCAATTCCTACATTTATTAAAACATTTTAATTAATTTCTATTATTTAGTTGCAATTTGAATTAATCCCGGTAAACAGATATAAACAAAAAAACAACGTCAGTCCATTACGGCCCAGTAAGCAACCAGTCACACTAAGGGGCTCGGCTACAAGGGGAATTTACCACTAATGTCATGAACAGGCCAGAAATAGCAAAGGGCTTTTTTACTTGAATGAGGTCGAAGCTTTTCATGGAACCCACACACCAATAGATGTACAAACTGTGGTGCACTTTAATTCAACTTGTTAACAGGGTTAGGGGTGGGACTGCATCGCCATGTGACTTCGAAGACAAACTGCTCACAGAGAAAGATGCATCAGGATCGGTTTGATACTTGGCAGCGATTCCAATGCGGGTGTTGCTGTTTCCAGCAGTCCAGGCCAGGTTCACAGCTGTCTCCAGCTTTTCATCCACCTTCTGGTAGATGGAACCACCAAACTCCGTGCCATAATTTCTGTGAAACGCAGCCGTTTGTGACTAATGTCACTGGATTATGATACAGATATGTCATTTGGAATGATCATGCAAGCTTAAAATGTATATGTGAAGCCCCAAAATCTTAGAATGTGCATATCGGTCCTGCTTCCATCAGTGATGGCACATCCAATTGAAGTGTACAGTGCCTGATGAAAAGCCTACGTTAACCTTTGACCTCACATAACCGCTTCCGTTGCAGACTGTTACCTGGGGGCACAGCAGGAACAAGCCCCATCCCTTACGCTCTCCGTCTGACACCACACCCCTCTGTACTTTCACAGCAAACCACTTCTATCTCCTATTATCACTATGAAAAGTAAAAAAAAAAAAAACTGGCATTTAACAGAAAGCTGAACAGGCAGCAAGGAGAAACTTCAAACCAAAGTTATAGAAAAGCCTGTATGCAGTTTTAAAATGCATCATGTATCATACACGTGTGTGCTGGTGGTTGAACATGCTGCATCTTACACATTTGTATGCAGCTGGAACTCATCGGTCTTGGATCCAGCGGCTAAGTTGCTCTGGGTGATCTTGTTCCTGCCGGCCTCAAAGGTCGGCTGGTAACCGGCGAGCCAGCACTCGTAGCCTGCCACGCCAGCGCCGTGAGTGGCTGTACCGTTCATGTCATAGTTGATGTCGCAGCCCAGGTTGATGTGTTCACACTTGTAGCCTGTCTTGAACTTGCCACCTTTCTTGCTGATTCGGGGTACAAAAGAACAAAAAAACAAAACTCAAACTTTCACGATAATGTAGTTAAAGGATGGAATCGCCGTTAGAATAGTTGCGACTATAGTCATTACCCGGTATTTGGAGAGAAAGAGGACTCAAACGTAAGCTTCAGCCCTTTAGTCAACTTGTGGACAAAAGGAATGAAGTCAAAACTGAGACTGTGTCACAGTGTAGACGGTCAGTTAAACACTTTTCCCACTTCAAAACTGAAGACTGATCTCATGTTGTCCAGAGGTTTAATGATGATGAAAAAAAGGTTTAACTAAAAAAAACTGATACAAGGCATTAGATCATATTCTATAGACACTTATCTGGTGTTCATCACAGCAAAGCAAAGCAAAATAGCCTAGCATGCAAGTAATAAGTGACACATTCAGTGTAGATTTCTATATAAACCAAATGCAATCACTAACCTCAGAGCTCAAAACAAAAATAAAATAGAAAAACAAGTAAATAATATTAATCCATTTTAAAAATCCATACTGACGACGCAACCAGAAAAAAAAAAGTAGACTTTCCTGAAAACAACACAAGCAAATCCTGACTGCTTAAGCAGGAGTGTTTACAGTTGGGAGTTGTCCACTGCACTGTAGTATAACACTCACCACTAGGTGGCAGCAGTCTGTAGTGCGTTCATACAGGGTTTTGTCCGTAAATTACAGACCATAATCCACTTTTTAGTTCTTTTCTCACAGAGTTAACTAAAAATGATTTGTTTACCTGACATGTTTCAGCTACTAGCTAAACAAATCATTTTTTATTAAACTGTGTCAGAAAAGCACAAAAAAATATGGCAGCAGTGTCTAACATGACAATTTTCACCTTGCATAACATTAGCATATCTAGCTATGCCTTTTAACATTTTCTAATACATCACATAAGCCTTTTAAAATACTCTTTATTCAAAACACAACTAAACTAATAAGTAGAAATATGAGTTATATATATATATATATATATATATATATATATATATATATATATATATATATAATTAAATCTATATCTTACAAATTATTTTTTAATTTCTATCAGTACAAGGCACTGTTTACTTTTGTAAAGGGTATTGTGCACAACGGAACTTTAACCCTTCAAAATAAGAGTCTCAAGAAATCACTCGTTCCTCATAAACAACTAAAGTTTTTAAACTAAGTTAGCCTCAAAATCCAGTTGTCAGATAATAATGAGAGAACACGTTTAACAAAACAATATTTAAGCCTAAGGTCTTTTGAGATGCGTGCTTTATGTTTCAGACTCTTATTGTGAAAAGTTATGCGTTCCAATCCAGACGCTTTCTGCGCTGCTGCGCTGCTGCTTGTGGTCTCCGTTAGGGGGCGTGGCTTATATAAAGGGCTCAGTGACGTCATACACACAGTATTAAAGAGCGTCTCCTAGAGAACACATCTCAGAAGAGAAGGGGTCTTACATTCGCCGATAGCTTATCTGCACACATATTAATCATTCTTAAGACATTTAAATCACAGAAAAAGCCTCAATGGAGACCATAATTTACCAGGAAGACATAAACTGGCTGAACAACCTTTTGACCGCAGAAAACCATGAGCGATGCCAAGATGCCAAGGTATATTTTTCTGAAACTATCAAGAAAATGAGTCGAGCGTCACAAGTGGTCATTAAGGCTTTTGAGGACGAACAAAAGTCCCACAATGAAACCAAGAAAAATTATGAGCAGACTATTGAAACACTGAAAGAGAAAGACTGTCTCATAATTTCTCTTCAGGAAGGCATCGCGACAGCAGAAGCGAAAGTTTTAGCCGCTGAAAAACGGGCAAACGATTACAAACAGATGTTTCTTGAAGAACAAACGGCTCATCATGAAGTGAGAAGATCTTACAAGGAAACAGTGAACACTTTGATTGAAACCGACGATTGTCTGAAGGTTTCATTGAAGGAACTAGAAAAAGAGAAAGCATCTCATGCTAAGACGCGGGAAACACAACAAAATATTATTCTCACTATTCAGGCACAGCACGACGCAATCCGTCTTCAAACGATTAAGGCTGCCCAGGAGATGGGACGGCAGTTTGAACAAAAAATACGTCAATTAGAAGAGAATCTGGAGCAGAAAGACGTTTTGTATCAAAGCCTCGATGATAGATATAGAGCTGAGCTTTCAGATGTCAAACAGCTGATGGAAAATTTAAACCAGGAGTTAGAAGAGGAAAAACAAATTCGTAAAGAAAGAGAAGACATTATTTTTACTATTCAGGCAGAGAAAGAAGATCTCTGTTCCCAAATGCAGCAGCAGACATCTGATTTGAACAAATTGTACGACGAAACAACGAGAAATTTTATGAGGCAACTCGAGGAGAAAGACGTTTTGTATCAAAGCCTCGAACAAAAGTGTGAAACTCAGCTTTCAGAGCGCCATCAGCTGATTGAGAGTTTGAAGCATGAGTTGGACACAAAACGTCAACAACATTTCGACGCACTCCAGGAAATTCAGGCACAGCGCGACGCGACCCGTCTTCAAACGATTAAGGCTGCCCAGGAGATGGGACGGCAGTTCGAACAAAAAATACGTCAATTAGAAGAGAATCTGGAGCAGAAAGACGTTTTGTATCAAAGCCTCGACGATAAGTATAGAGCTGAGCTTTCAGAGAGCCGTCAGCAAGTAGAACATTTACACCGGGAATTAGAGAAGGAAGCGAAAGTTTTAGCCGCTGAAAAACGGGCAAACGATTACAAACAGATGTTTCTTGAAGAACAAACGGCTCATCATGAAGTGAGAAGATCTTACAAGGAAACAGTGAACACTTTGATTGAAACCGACGATTGTCTGAAGGTTTCATTGAAGGAACTAGAAAAAGAGAAAGCATCTCATGCTAAGACGCGGGAAACACAACAAAATATTATTCTCACTATTCAGGCACAGCACGACGCAATCCGTCTTCAAACGATTAAGGCTGCCCAGGAGATGGGACGGCAGTTTGAACAAAAAATACGTCAATTAGAAGAGAATCTGGAGCAGAAAGACGTTTTGTATCAAAACCTCGAACAAAAGTGTGAAACTCAGCTTTCAGAGCGCCATCAGCTGATTGAGAGTTTGAAGCATGAGTTGGACACAAAACGTCAACAACATTTCGACGCACTCCAGGAAATTCAGGCACAGCGCGACGCGACCCGTCTTCAAACGATTAAGGCTGCCCAGGAGCTGGGACGGCAGTTCGAACAAAAAATACGTCAATTAGAAGAGAATCTGGAGCAGAAAGACGTTTTGTATCAAAGCCTCGACAATAAGTATAGAGCTGAGCTTTCAGAGAGCCGTCAGCAAGTAGAACATTTACACCGGGAATTAGAGAAGGAAGCGAAAGCTCGTAAAGAAAACGAGGAAATGATTAGGATTGTTCAGGATGAAAAGGTAGAGCTTTATAATCAGATGGAGGACAAAGCACGAGCTATGGAAAGACAGTTTGAAACAGAAAAGAGGAATTTTATGAAAGATCTGGAGGAGAGAGAGGCTTCTTGTCAGGACCTCGAGAAAAAGTATAAAACTGAGGTTTTTAATAGTAAACGGCAGATAGAAAGTTTACAACAGGAGATGGAAAAAGAACGTGAGGAAGCAGCACAAACTATTTTAACTATTCAGTCTGAAAAAGAGGCGCTTAGAGTCCAGATGGAACAGCAGTTAGACGTAGAGAAGAGCAAACTTCAGGAAGAACTGAACAAAGGAGAAGGTTTATACCGGGACCTTAGAAAAAAGTATATGGAGCTGTTCTTTGTAGCAGCACATCTATAGATGCCACGCGTCAGCCTGAGGAAGTCTGCAGCCGCGGACGAAACGTAGCGGAAAAACAGGTAACGAAACTGTTTCTGTGTTTTAAACAAAGAACGACAGCATGGGGTTATAGATACCACGTTCTGCAGTGGATGCACACACGTTCTCACTTAGGTCGAGTCCGATATGCTCCCACGGCTGAGTCTAAATGCTCATTTCTTAAATTTAGTTGGTTTATTATAGTTTTTAGATGCATTTTTAGTTCATTAGTGATAAGATCAATAATCAAACTGTTAGTTTTTAGTTTGTTTTTAGATAATTACAAAATAAGAGAACTTCCATCAAGGGTGACTAAATCACGCCCCTTCCCTGACACACATCACCACCTAGTCGTCTGTAAATTTAAAAAAATGACCACACAAGGATTACGTCACAGAAAACACACCTCCACATCATTTCTGTGTGTCCTTGTGCTGCGTGGGGGTTTTCTCTGGGAGCTCCAGTTCACCCCCGACCCAAAATCCTAACTTATTGTTACCCTGGTGGATCTGCTCAGCTTTTCAGCAATCAACATTCAAACTGTATTTTGGAAAGAGATGCATTTATCTAGTTACTGCTGGCTCTAATATTAATTAAGGGACCTGCCAGCATCTGACAGAGCCCTTATATTCTTCACTGGAGCAGCGTGCTCCCCCATAACCAACAGTTTAGCAATCCAATTCAAAAATCTTTCCTCATGCCTCTGACATATTTTCAGAGCTTTGATCGTCGTTACAATTCAAATATAAATTCATTTTTAAGTCAAATTTGGCCTGTTTTCCCAAACAGCAGGCTTCCCACCATAGGTTTGGTGGGTTTCAGCTGGGAGCTGACGTGTGAGGACTCCCTCCCACCCAAACTACTAGCTGGGGCCCTTCCTGTGCTGGCGCCATTTATTCTGGAAATTGTCAACAGCAGCCTTTCGACTGGAGTGATTCCAGCCACCTTCAAAAATGCAGTCGTGCATCCACTACTGAAAAAACCTGGCCCAGATCATAATGACCTTTCTAATCATCGTCCGATTTCCAAACCCCCATTTTTATCCAAGATTATTGAGAAAGTAGTCCACACTCAGCTTTCCAATTACTTGGGAGATCAAAGCCTCCTTGACCACTTTTAGTCTGGCTTTAGGCCTCACCACAGCACAGAAACTGCACACCTTCGTGTATTAAATGATATCCTGGTGGCAACTGATACTGGTTCCCATGTCCTGTTACTCCTGGACCTCTGCTGCCTTCGACACAGTGGACCATGACATCCTACTTAGGAGGCTGGAGTTGTGGGTGGGGGTGAAAGGGACCCCACTTCACTGGTTCAGGTCCTATTTGTCAGATAGGCAATTTAGTGTTCACATTGACACATTTTCCTCTCCATCGACCCCACTTCGCCGGGGTGTGCCTCAGGGTTCGATTCTGGGGCCACTCCTGTTCTCGATTTACTTACTGCCATTGGGGATGATTTTAGCAAACCTTGGAATAAGTTATCACCTTTACGCTGACGACTGCCAGATTTATTTGGAATGGTCAAGCCCCTGTTTATCTGTCAGAACTGCTTAAGCCTTATGCTCCAACCAGAAACCTGAGATCGACAGATCTCTTGCTTTTGTGCATCCCAATAATGAGGTATAAATCTCGTGGGGAGCGGGCCTTTGCATTCGCTGCTCCTAAACTTTGGAATGCTCTCCCCCTTAGTGTTCGACAGGCCCCAGAACTGGGTCGGTTCAAGTCTGTACTGAAGGCCTACTTCTATCATTTAGCTTTTGATCAATGACCAAGCTTTTATTATTTGTATGTTTTTATTGTGACTGTTTTTAACTCTAGTATGTTTCTTTTAAATTTTTAGGTTATTCCTTTTATCTCCTATATGATTTTTATCTTGTTTTTATCTTGGGGTTTCTCCTTTTTATCACTACTGTACAGCATTTTGGTCAGCTGTCATGCTGTTTTTAAATGTGCTTTATAAATAAACCTGGTATGGTGTCCCAGCAGAGACCTGATGTGTGTCCCAGCTGGGAGCTGATTCGTGACTCAGGCTCAGTTGATCGAACTCTGACGATTAAGAGGCCCACACAGGTGTCTTCAGCTATATGATATCATCCTTTGATGATGTCAGAATTATTTAATAAATTAATTAAATTACGTTTAAAACAATTGTGACAATGAATGAAAAGATTAAATGGGGAAGAAAAAATAAATAAATATTTATATATAAACAAAATTAAAAAAACAATTAATTAAACAAAACACAAAAAACGTATTGTCAAAAACAAACACACTATTAAAATACTATTTAACTATTGAACTCAAATAATTAATGAAGATTTAAAAATTACTAATTGACACCCTTGAATATAACAATACTGTGTACTTTTCATTAATTGCTAATCTTTTGAATTTACTTGAAGTAAAATGTTCAAAACAGAACTTATAAAAAATTTTTGGTTAGCTTTTTTTAAAGAATTTTTTTCACTCTGCGATCTTTTATTATCCTTATTTTCCAGATAATTTTAGTTTGTTTGCTTTCCCCTTAATTTAATGCAACTTTGACTATTTATATAGAAAAATAATTAAGGCCTCGATTGCAAAAACAATAAATAACACATTCATGTATCATTAAATTACATATCATTTAACATAAATGTCATCAACAAATTTGCTCCATTTCATCTCTGCTTCCTGCGATGGCTTATCTACAGAAGTGTATGCATTTGCAACCTACAGATAGGTGATCACACATGCAATAGGAAAGAGTCACATAGACTTGCTTTGTCCTTCTGTGGAAAAAACTGTTTTGCAGCTTTAGTTTAATGTGCAAGATTTCACAGAACAGATGTGTGGTTTAAATATAAGAAAAAAGCCAAACCCAAAAGTGTTTCCTTTAGCAAGTGAAAAGTGCACAATAAACACAACCTGATGCAACCAACTGCTTACAAGTTAAAGGCTTTTGGTTTTTCAAGCTGTTTAAAGTCGTGCTGTTTTAATTTAAAAATCAAAATTACATTTCACTAAAATAATAAAAAAAATAAATCACCTCCTGATCTGAAACTTCATCAAAATAATCTAATATTAAGAAATTCGAAAATATTATGTATGAAGTAGATTTTTTTTAAAGAATTCTGAAAGCATTTGTGTGAGATTTGGGTGATTTTCCTTAGTCAGTTAATTTTTCCCCCCAGCGACATAAAAGATAATCTTAAACTGCCTGCAATTTAGCACTTGGCCACTAGACGTCACTGTTGGTGACAATAAGACAGTCGACTAACTAGTATACTTTATACTTTGAGCCAATTCAGAGGAATTACACTCTAGTTTAACTAGGGGTCTTATCATAGACTGTTTTATACACGTATATATATATATATATATATATATATATATATATATATATATATATATATATATATATATATATATGTATATGTATATATATATATATATGTATATATATATATATATATATATATATATATATGTGTGTGTGTGTGTGTGTGTGTGTGAGTGTGTGTGTGTGTGTGTGTGTACATATACATACAGCATTTTTCCAGGCTCTCCCGGTCCAGTTCTAGTGATCCTGGGGGAATTGCAGCCAGTTTCCTGTTCTCAGCTGACAGGAGTGACACCAGGTGGGATCTTCTGCTGCTACTGGAGTCCATCTGCCATGTTGTGGATCAGAGACGCTGTTCTGCAGACCTTGGTTAGAACCATCCTCTGTAACAGCCGGGTTCTGAATTACTCAGACCAACAAACACTCGAAGTCTCTAAAAAGCTCATTTTTTACTTCACTAATTTATCTTTACACCTTTTTCTGACTCGCTATCATAAAAACGTCTACTGAGAATGAAGTGCTAACAGGCAGCTGAACAGGTGACATGTTTCTCTCTGCTCCATTGTCCACCTCAGTCCCCCAACTTCTCACCATGCTGCACTGATAACTAAATCATTTTTAGAAATCTTAATGACTGAATCGTTGTGTGTTTTTCCACAGCTGTCCTTTCCTCCCACACAGGCTGCCAGATGTTGGAGGGGACCGCCGCCCACCTATGGATGTGCTGGAGAGCTTTCTACCTGCTGGCTGCGGGTGTGGCGTTAGCGTGTGAAGCACGCCTGCCGTGTCCACCGTCCTGCCGCTGCAACGCCGCCGTGCTGGAGGTGAACTGCTCCGGGGGTCAGCTCACCTCCGTACCTAACGGCGTCCCCCAAGACGCTAAGCTGGTGAACCTGACCCACAACACAATCAAGACTCTCGTGAATCATCAGTTCTACAATCTAAGCCAGCTGTTCCATCTGGATCTCAGCGACAATCTTTTGGCGTTCATTGAAGTGGAAGCCTTCCTGGGCCTACGGAGCCTGTTGACGCTGCGCCTAGCTCGCAATCAGCTGAAGATCCTTTCAGTGGGGGTGTTTGCTGGCTTGAAGGACTTACGGTTACTGGACATAAGCAGCAATAAGATCCTCGTGCTTTTAGATTTCACCTTCAAGGACTTGGCGTCCCTGGAGCTCTTCACAGCAGACGACAACGACTTTGTTTTCATCTCTCGCCAAGCCTTCGCGGGGCTGACCGGTTTAAAAAGGCTGGCCCTTGATGTTCAGAACCTCACTGCCGTGCCAACAGATGCGCTCGCTGAGCTAAGCGTGCTGAGGAGCCTTCATCTCCACCAGCTGGGCCTCACCACCCTCCCAGATTACTCCTTCCATCATCTAGACCTCCTAAAGGAGCTCGTCATCTCTCGTTTCCCCCAGATGGAGTCTTTGTCGGTAAACAGCCTCTTTGGGTTGAATCTCACATCCCTAACCATCACACACTCCAACCTCAGTGCTGTACCTTACACACCTTTACGCCCCCTTGTGTACCTTGTGTACCTTGACCTTTCATTTAACCCCATCAGCTACATTCAAGGGAGCCTGCTTGGAGATTTGCTCCGACTCCAAGAGTTTCATCTTGTCGGAGGTTCATTATTACGCATCGAAAGTGCAGCCTTTAAGGGTTTGGTGCATTTAAAAGTGCTGAACGTGTCGAGGAACCTTCTCACCACGCTGGAGGAAGGATCGGTTCAGTCGGTGGACGTCCTGGAGGTCCTAGGGCTCGACGGCAACCCGTTAGCTTGTGACTGCCGTTTGCTTTGGTTGGTGAGAAGGCGGCCGTATGTGGACTTTTACGGATGCCCGCCAACGTGCTCTACCTCGGTCCAGCTGCAGGGCTGGAATTTCCTGGACTTCGCCGCGGACGATCTCTCAAATCTGCTCACCTGTCGCCGGCCTCGGATTTTAAACCGCAAACCTGAAGATGTGAGAGTGGATCAAGGACACACCGTGGTGTTTGACTGCAGCGCGGAAGGTGATCCTCAGCCATCTGTCAGTTGGCTCAACCCTCAGCTAAGACATATTTCACCCGTCGGTCGAATACGAGCTCTGACTAACGGCTCTCTGGAGGTCCGCTACGCTCAGCCTCTCGACAGCGGCACTTACATCTGCGTGGCGTCAAACGCAGCAGGGAACGACAGCCTGCCCGTCAGCCTGCACATCCGAGCCCTCCCATCTAAAACCCATTTTCAAACCTGGCTTGTCTCTCCGTCTGCTCCTCCGGGTGGGAGTGGAAATCACAATCTCCCGTTTGACCTGAAGACTCTACTGATAGCAGCAACGATAGGATTTTTCTCCTTCTTCAGCTCCGTGTCCCTTTGTTTCATTTTGATGTTCTTCTGGAGTAAAGGGAAAGGCCAAATCAAGCACACGGCCACCATCGCGTACGTCCCACGGAGCGCCGTGTCCAACAGCAACACGGGCGCAACCAGCTTCAAGGAGACCGGCAGATTCACCATGAAGCTCATATGACTCCATTTAAAAGCACGTCAGCTTCAGTATCTGAACAGTGAATCTAAAATCTTCGTTTCTGTTGACTGAATGCACACGAGCATGCTTCAAACAATTTTACATACATTTGCTTTCTTTTTAGAGGCTTTTATAACCAAATCTGCACTTTAACATCAGTTGAATGTACTATATAATGTAATGTTTTTGCACTAATTGCACATATTGTATTTGAAATCTATTAACAAATACCAATAAAAAATAGGGAGAATTAAACTGGTCTGTGTAAAAGAAATATACTTGCCTGGCTTTCTGTTATTACATTAAAATAAACATCTAAAGAGCATTTAACTCAGCAGAACATATCATACTAATAACTCAAAAAGCCAAGTACAGCAATGTTAAAGTTATCTTAGGGCTTTTTATAGATTTCATATAATCTTTATCTCTTTTTAAGATTAATTAAGAATTTTCTGGCACTTATTTATTTTTTTCTGATAAATATACGTTAAATAAAATGTGTTCTACTTATTTATTCATTTAAATTGAGTTAAATAAATCTAGCGATGTTTTTGTGTGTGATTTCTACTTAAACTTGAAATAAAGAACTAAAAAGGAGCCATGAATCAGGAATTAAACCGACCATAATTTAACATAAATAGCCTGCTAGTAAATTTTAAAATTACATTTTTGTGGGGAAATTTATTTATTGAATTGCAGAAGGGGCCTCCACCAGTGAGTGGAGCTAGCTGCATGTGCTGTAAACACAGAAATGTTAAATAAAGTCTATATATGTTTCTGATGTGGGGCTGGAGAGGGATAATGACAACAGTGCTGAAATGTAAGTGATGATGTTGCCATGACAATGCATTAAATCAGCCAGTGTGGAGCATCAGTTGAAAAGGCTTAACTGGTTTCCATAACAACGTTCAACACAGACCTGGAAAACAATGAGAGGAGATGCTACGGATGAAGGGCATTTTAAAATGACTAAAGCAAGTTTGCGCAAATATTGCATGAATATTTTAAAAAATATATACCATTAATTACAATAATACAAGGCGGTTATTATTATTATTATTACTATTATTATTGTTATTATTATTATTATTTTATTATTATTATTATTAATAAATTATTATTATTATTATTATACCTTTTAAACTTGCCATTAATTTAGGCTTGATTGGATTAGTATCAACAAGAAAGGTTTTGTAAAATAAAAGTCTGCAAAGGAAACATTATCATTAAAGATTTCACCATCGGTTCTCTTAGATTATTTAAAATAAAACAGGGACTCTATCAATTTAAATAACAGTGTAATCATAATATTTTTAACAAATCGGATCACAAAACACTGTAAATTACCAAACCGCTTTTATTTTGAATGCCACTGTTAACTGTAATCCGGAAGTACAATATCTGCTCCGGAAATTATGCGTGTATCGTCAAACTAGATAAAGCATTTAGCTGCCCTGTCCACCTGTGTTGTTAAATTTTACTACTAAATACTTCTATAAATTCCGAAACTTTGAAATATTTTACATTATATCAAATTAAACATGTACATTAGAAGATAGTTTATTTGGCGGTGAGTGGAAAGCGGAGCAATCGATCTCGTCACGAATTTAGCTAGTTTCGGTTAGCATCTGTTCAAAATAAAGCCATGAGTTTGGCAGTTGGACGCGAACCCAGGAAGACTGCGGGAAACCGCATGTCGAAACTACTGGATGCCGAAGAAGAGGACGAATTCTACAAGACCACATATGGAGGTTTCCACGACGTGAGTAACTAGAAGAACAGAGAGCAAAACAAAGAGTTAGCATTACACAGCTAGCTTCAGTCGAGGTAAACATTCAGTCGATTGTCTCATAAATTGAATTGTAGATATTGCTGTGGCTCTTAAACCTTTTTATTTAAACCCTAAACTAGTTTAATTGAAAACATGGATATAAAAACTGTTTACAACGTACACACATTTTTGAATGAACAATCCTAGTCTGTCGGTGACTTTCAGATTGTGATTTTTCCACACAAATACACAATTTTCCCATTTGAACGTTTCTGAATAATTTAACGCTCATTAAATTTGTTATTTTGTCATGCCATACATATTAATTACTTGCCAGGAAGCTTGGTTTAGAAAATTGGGAAAACGCTTTGTTTATCTCAAGAGGGTAAAAATTATTTGTTCCCTGGTCTCTTGGAAGTAGTTGTAAAATTTAATAAAAACGGCTCTCTTTATTACTTCAAATAACCCAGGTCATCTAGATTAGCGGTCTAATGTGAAAAAGAAACAACGTTTTGTGTTTGTTCTGACAAATATGTCTGTCAGATGTGAAAATAACCAAATAAAGCAAACTTCCTGTTTAACACCAAAAATAGAAGAAAGACACTAAATGTATTGTTCAATAGAACATCACACCTGCTGTAAGCTGTTGATTTCTTTCTTTAATTCTTTCTTTGGCTAATTTTCTTTTGACAGCTGCTGGTTCAAAGATCATCCTGTGTAGGATGATGTCTGGCTGCAGTCGCGTCAGCAGTTCTGACAAGAATGGCATGGCAGGGAAAAAGAGAAACAGAAAAACACCAACAAATTCTGAAATGCCATAGTCGTCTCTGCTTGGACTGTACAGAACTGTGATAGTTGATGTGCACTTAACTTTTCATGGCCCAGAATTACCTAACATTGTCAGTTTTGTGCGTATCTTTAAGCTAATCTCAGGATGCAATGATTCTGGCAGCAGTTTTAGTGTTGCTGTCAAGCTGAGTAGCAAGAAAATTCCTGAAAATGTAGGAAACACGTTATTCCATATACCAGTTTGGTAAGTAAAGCCTCTTACACCGTCTAATCTTTATCAGTTTGAAGGCTGTTTTTTCATAAGTAAACAGGAAACACCCACAGAAGTTTTTCTTAAATTTCTCTTCTACTTCTAAGTCTGAGTATATATGTTAGGGATGAGCGAGTACACCACTATCTGTATCTGTATCTGTTCAACCATCTAAATTATCTGTATCTGTACTCGGAGTGGGCGTGACCTAACCCGGAAGTGGGTGTGGTTTAAACAGAAGTGGGTGTGGTTTACATCAACACATTATTTTAAATCTGAAATTGATATGAATTGATCAGAATTTGCTATGTGTATTGTTTATTTGAAAACTATTTACAGATCAGCCTCAGAATTGAGATTAAATATTTTTGATCACAATAGTAAAGGAACTATTACAGAGCAAGTTTATCAGTAAAATCAGAACATTAATATTTAAGTGCATGGATTAATACTTCTGAACTCATGCAGTAGGAATTAGGAAATATGAAATGCTAGAACCAGACAAAACTTTATATATTTTTTTATTTTAATTTGATGAAAGTGACTTCTTCTTAACGTTCTTGGCATTTTTCCCACACAAAGTTAAACAAAACAATGTTAATTAAGGTGTGTGTGTGAGAGGTAGAGAGGGAGAGAGAGAGTAAAAAAAAACCTGATCGAAGAGGAGGCAGACTGACGCACCACGTCATCCCTGTCTTGTCAAATGCACCACGTAAGTTACGAAAAAAGTAACTTTAAATAATAAGTATTAGTGTTGTCAAAAAAATCGATACCTAGATATAAATTGATACTAACACTGGTATCTAAATTAGATATTCCATCCCTGTGGTATCGATATTATGGACTATTATACACAGCCTTCTTCAAGTACACCGACACGCACGACAGCCAGATGCCGTAAAGCAGCCTCCGCCTCCCAGACGAACAGAAGAAGAAGACGCCACATGGCTACATTACAATTTCCCACGCGAGTTGTCTCTGATCCAAGTTTTGTATGCCAAATAAATAAACAAAAACATAAACAGCGAATTTGGGAGGCGCTTCACAGCCCAACTTCATTAGCATACCAAGTCCAACACGTAGTTGTATATTCACGCTTATGTGCTTAAAGGAAACTCCCGTTTATTGCAACCCAGACTTAATTTCTAGCATGCAGTATGTTTGTTTACTCACGCTGACAACACATGGAAGCTTTTAGTAGAAGTGGTGGCATTTGGGTTACTGATTCAGACTGGTGTCTCACCAACAAAGCACATATATTATGGATGAGCCGGATACTCGTTTCAGATGAGTATCTGGTACCGATAAACCATTTGACAAATACAAGCATGAAACGAGTAAAACTCTTAAATATCTGTAATCGTGCTGAAGGAAAATACTCATTGGGTAACGGACTGTCTTCACGCTCTGTGATTGGCCAGTCACCCGCCCCTCCCTACACACAAAACTCTCCAGCCGGGAGCTCAGTCCATCCGGCTCATCCACGCACACACACACACAGTAACGGATCTCTCTGTGCTTGCTTCAATGTTGCTGACGTTTCTTCAGTACTCCCTAGGTTTTCCTCAGCTCACCTCTTTTTCGGTTGAATATTTGTTTATGTTTATTCATTTAGCAGACGCTTTTATCCAAAGTGACTTACAATTTATAACCTATAGGGCATGTTGTGATCTGTGGGGGAAACCGGAGTACCCGGAGGAAACCCACGCTTGCATTGGGACAACACACAACTCCACACAGAAAGGCTGCAGCCGAGCAGAGTTTCGAACCTGCAACCTTCGTGCTGCGAGGCAACAGTGCTAACCACTGCGCCACCATGCAGCCCATATTAATATACTTATTAGGGTTGTCACGATACTAAAATTTCAAACTCGATACTGGAAAAAAAACTCGATGCTCGATTTCAATACTATTTAAAAACACCAATTTATTGAACAAGTTTACCAAAAAATAACATTCTTCAATTTATATTGCAAAAATTAAATGTTAAGAATTAAGTGTGTAAAGTGCTTAAACCTTTCAAGTATCAGCATTTTTTTAAACATGCATGCAAAAACTGGCGAAAGTTAACACTTTAAATCATGAATTGTCTCACTATATATACACTATTTGCAGAGTGATGTTTTGCTGCTTAAACTCTGTTTAAGGTGCATTTTTGTCATAAGATGTAATGCCATATGTTTTGTTCTGTACTTTTGAACAACTCTGTTGGTCAATAAAGGGAGAAAACAAATTTCTCCACAGTATGACAAAGGTAATCTTAATAAAAACAGATTGGCGCACGGCAGTGACGTCATTAAAAGCGCCGGTTAATTAGCCGCGGCTAGTCTGTTTACGCCTAGAAATCCCAGACTCGCTCCAAACGAACAGGGAAATCACGTTAATGATTCCTAACAAAACCTTTCGACATTGAGATTTTTTGGTGCATATAATGTCTTATTTCGAGGCTGCACCATGGGTGCCCGTCCGCACCCGTTATATGGATATACACTGATGGCGATTCGCCGATGGATCTAAATACCCCGGGGAATCCAAGTAGCACCAATGTCGTCCCGAATCATTTTTTCTAACTCATGTCAAATATTTGCAGTCTGCTCAGCACGGAATCATAACTTGCTGTCAAATTCTGCCGTTTATTTGTTTTCAGGAATCAGGAGATGACGAATATCACGGGGAGCATTCGGACACGGAGGACGAGGTGGACAGCGACTTTGACATTGATGAGGGTGACGAGCCGGACAGCGACCAGGAGGAACATGCACCTCGGAGGAAAAGTCGGGTCGTCACTAAAGCTTATAAGGTCTGTTCGGTTCAGAAGGGGGGAGACAACAAGTCTGAGTCATCTTAGATAATCTAGTGGTAAAAGATGAATAAAATGAACAATTATTAAGGATTTTCACATCATGTTATTTTTATTTATCATACATGATGCTACATATGAACCCCTCTGAAGCTCTGCTGCTGCATCTTGGCATTAGATGAGCAAACAGGGGAAACACTGCTCTAGGGCTGCAACAAACGATTATTTGGATAATCGATTAATCGGATGGGGTCTCGACACGATTAATCGATTAATCGGATTACATGGGGAAATTTTTAAAAACTGCTAGGGAAACGTTATTTCTCTCCTTCCTTCACTTTATTTAACACAACATTATTAGAAAACAGTTCAATAGCAGAAAAACAACATGCCATCACCTAAATTGTCTTATAAGGTGTATAGACAGAGACCCTAAGCTACATTTATCTGTGACCTAAAATGCTTGGTCCAAGTTAAACAGCTTAAGGGCAATTCTCATCTGTTTTGTTTGATCTCATCTGTTGACATTTATTTTAAATGTAATTAAACATAGGCTGTGAATTAATCAAAATTGATCATTATTTCCAAAAATGACTGAAAAAATACCAAATAAAACAAAAGTAAATGAATGCCATCCTCCTTGCGATGATGCCCTGGGCAACTGCCATAAAGTCACATCAAGAAATGCTGCTGATCATTCCAATGATCCCAAATAGACTCACATTAGGCCACATGAAAGCAACTGAACCCAAAACTATATTAACCAGTATATAACTGCACTCTCACACAACACGCCTGCAGCAACAGTTAGGACTCCTCCCTCCCTTTTAAAAGCGTTTTTGCTTCTGAGGACATTGTGGTTGTAAAACCACATGTTAGTAGTCTGGCCCCGGTGTGATCAACCAGTTTCTGCGGGAATGTGACGGCGGAACCAGGGCCAGATTAACACTTTGTTGTACCCTGGGCAACAATATTCAAGGGCTCCATCATCATGACCCAAGGATCACCATAATGTGGTCACATACAGAATATTTTACTGTAATATGCAGTAAATATACCCAATACTTGAATGCCTGACAACACGTAACCCGCCCAGAGTAACCTTTGACCCACCTCGTGTGGACTGACCAATGAGGAGAGGGTCTTAACTTGAGGCCCTCTCTTCATTGGTCAGTCTGCATGAGACTGACTCTCAACTGACGTTCAGTCGTAGGCAGCGAAGCGTCTCTGTGCAGTGCAAAAGCCCGGGTGGACAGTTTGTTTAATGTAGGGTGACCATATTTCCATTTCCAAACAAGAGGACAGGGGATCTGTGCCTATGACGTCACACTATGGCAACGCCACACAAACCATGTTGGGACCCATTTTTTGTAAGAACTAAATTAATATCAGATTCTGCCAATAAAAGGGCTCTAAAACAATTCATATGTAAATATTTTGCATATTTAATGCAAAATCTAATTTTTCTGCTTTAGTGCTGCAAAAAGGTTTTATTAATAATAAATTATTATACCTTTTGTTATACTACAGCATCGGTAAGCTTCCTGTGCACAGATTATTCAGGATGCTTGTTTCAGCTGTGAGATTAGACGATAGGATCAATGAAAAAAATAAGTTGTCACATACTCCATGGAAACTTTCAGAGAATCCACAAATAGTGGCTTTCAAATGGTTTTGTTACTTTTTGCAAGTTTATAAAAGAAGCAGATGAGACAGCATGTCTGATAATTTAGTTTTTCATCTGATAATATTAGAACATGTCAGTAATATCTGAGGGGCTTTTATAAACACTGTATAACTAACACTACTGGAGAGGGTATGAATTACACAGAGGCTTCTGGGGAGCCCAGTTATTGGGGGGTGGGGGGGTGGGGGGCATTTTGCCTTGGCCCCCAAAATGTCTTGAAACGGCCCTGGGTGTGTGACTGAGTTTTGAAGGTGATCTGAATTGTATCAGATGTATAAATATAACATGTGTAGAACTTATTGTTTTTTACTGGTAAAAACGTGTAGTGGAGATAAATCTACCTACATTTGACTTTTAAACACTTTGTTTTGTTTTCTTGTTTTTATTTAACTATTTTCCTGTCTTGTCTGTCTCTCATCTTCCTGCATCTCCTCTTAATTCTCCAGAAAATCTGTTGCCGGGATTCTTACCTTTTCACCTCATCAGTTACTTTTGAGCAGATCAAAGGGATCTCCTGACCGAAAAGCTCAGAGTGCGTTTTCGATGCTGCGTGAGGTGAAATCACCACAGCACCGGTGATGAGCTCCGCAGTAGCGAGCTTCAGGCACAAATAAGACAGAAAGTAGAGAACATGTGCGGACATGAAAGATCGTGTGCTAATTATAGTTTTTTGGTTGCGCAACTTTGAGAATGGACCGTGCGCTGGAAGCAGCTGCCTGGATCGCTGCACAACAATGCGGAACCGGTTCGCAGCAGCGCAAGTCTGCCGGCTCTCCCTCGCGCTGATCTGCCGGTACCGGCTCTCCCTTGCGCTGATCTGCCGGCTCTCCCTCGCGCTGATCTGCGGCTCTCCCTCGCGCTGATCTGACTTGCTCTGGTCTGCGCGCAATGGCGGGCGGGAAGGGGGGGCGCTTTTGGAAGAGTTGTGCGACACAACGAATCGATGACGCAATTCGTTGCCAACGCTTTTAGTAATCGATTTTCATCGAATTTATCGATTTGTTGTTGCAGCCCTACACTGCTCATACTTTTATAAAAAAAAGTAGTAGTAGATAAAGACACTATTTTGCCAGGCTGTTATGTCATTCATACACGAGCACAGGGTGATCAGAGAGCTCCAGTCCGTTTTATTAAGCGGGATATATACGAGTATCGTCTGCGTAACAACAAAAACTAATTCCATACTTATTAAAGGTAGAACATAGAGCGTGGATGGGAAATCCTGGTCTGTCGAGGGTTGCTGTCCTGCATGTTTTAGTTGATTCCCTGCTTGAACACGTCTGATTTCAATCAGCAGATCCTGGTGAGCTGCTGAACAGGGCATTCAACCACTGACTCAGGAGTTTTGGAGCAGGGAAACAACTAAAACATGCAGGATAGCATTCTTAAAGGAATAGGGTTCCCCACCCCTGACCCAGAGGAAGCAGGTACAGTGGGAATAGGAGGGGGCCAAAAAATGAGCCCTGCGGAACCCCACGCTGAAGAGGGAGAGTGGAGGGCACAAAGCCGGCTGCAGAATGTACTCCCCAACCCCCATAATTCATCTTTCTTCAATCACAGGAACCCATAAAGGTGGTGAAACCCAAACCTAAAAGACCCAATGAGGAACAGAGAAGGACGGAGAAAACCAAAGTGGAGCTCAGACGAAGAATTCCACCAGAGTTTCAAGATTTTGCTGAAAGTAAATTTTCTCTTTATTACATAACGTCTCCGTTAGATTTCCTTCATGCATAATTTCTGCAAAAACTTCTCAGATGACATCCTAAATCACAGCAACAGCAATAAGTCAGTGATCAATTTGTTCTGTAGCACGCAAATCCGTGCGTCAGTCCACCAGCGAGCACACGAGGAAAACCAACCTACGCTTACAGGAGCGTCAGGATGCTCCTCGGAGACGGAGAGGTGCTCACCGCGACCGACCGCTGACTCAGGAAGAGCTGCTGGCAGAAGCCAAAGTAACGGCAGAGGTCAACATTCGATCTCTGGGTAAGAACTTGTTCAAGATTCAGTCAGAGACGTTTAAAGCCTACACATGAGGGACTTTGGATCCACCGGCCATCTTTGTTTCTGTAGAAAACTACGAACGTTTGGAGGCAGACAAGAAGAAACAAGTCCACAAGAAGCGTCGTTTTGAGGGACCAACCATCCGTTACCATTCTGTCCTCATGCCTCTCGTCTCTCAGCCTCTCCTGAAAGAAGAAAACGTTGATGTTGAAGGGTGTGTATGGTCACCAGCTGGCATTTACGTGATGCTGAATTCTGTTTATGTAAATGCTTCTAAAGTTCTGAGTCAAAACATGAAAGAAATGAGCATGTTCAGACTTTACAGCTTTGTAGCTGCTTTGCTGTTTTTTAGTTTAGATGAACAAATGCAGAAACATATCTGATCATGTTTTATTGTTATTTTATTTTTCATCAGTCTGGACCAGGACGTTTCTCAGAACGCTCCACAGAATCCTGCCGCTGCGTCCCAGCAGCCCCCTGGAGGCCTTTGCTCCAGGACTTTTATGACGTTCAGCGACGAAGAAGCTTTTGAGGTGGCGTTTCCTCACAGAGCCCGGTTGAGTCGTCCGCTTCCAGTGCAGGAAGTTTGCCCGGTGACCCACAAGGCTGCTCTGTACCGCGACCCGGTCACAGATATACCTTACGCCAACGCACGAGCCTTCCGCATTATCCGAGAGGCATATCGGAAATACGTGGCGGCTCATGGGTTTCCAAACACGTCAGGAGGGGACTCCTCTGGGGTGAAGGGGAACCGCCAGAAAATGGTGGTCAAACAGACTGCAGTTACCACATAAGCTGGACATTAATCAATCAAAACCTTAATTTTTTAGCTTAAATTTGGTTCTTATGTGACTGATTAGCTGGTTTCCACTTAGACGAGTTGTATCAGAATCTACTACCAGACTTCCATCGGCAGCTGTTCATATTCTGTTTCTTTTTGTTATACTTGCTGTGAATGTCCATACCTTGTTCTGATACAAATAAACATTTTAAAGTTTAAGCTTGTTTTCTGGTTATCTGAAGGAAAATGTATTGTCCTGCTCTTGACTAGGGCCACTTGATTTTATATATACATATATATATATATATATATATATATATATATATATATATATATATACATATATATATATATATATATATATATATAAAAGAAATCACATTACCCATGTTTCTCCTCTTTAGCTGCAAAACAGAGGGTGCGTGTTCCTTGATGGTTATGTGTTTTGCCTTCATTCTGCCACTTTGCACGGATTCATTCTAAAGGGATACTATGCAAAATTTTCATATATTTAAATCATTTTCTTGAGCCAGTATGTGCTAAAATGATCCTTCACATGGTTAATGAAATGTTCCTCAGACCTCTACCACCCCCTGTGGCCAGAATTACGCACTTGCAACTTAGAGTGCCAGTCTGGTCCCCGTTGGACTAAGTGAAATTGAGCTGTCATGCCTGGTGCTGCAGTCTGCTTCCAGCACGGTTCCTGTATGTTTTAGAACGTGAACACATTTGATTTGTTTGATTTAGTGATGAATCTTTCCCGTAGACATTAAAGAGCAAGTCACCCCCTACCAGAGTATTACTCTGCTCCCACTTCCTGTTTGAAAAATGCAACGAATGCTGTTGCCTAGCAGACCGACAGGGCGGTGCCGCTAACAAATACACAGACACAGGCTCACAACGACATTGTGACATCATATGGTACCAGCTAACATTCTAGGGTACCTCTTAGCCAATAGCGATGGCAGTACAGAGTATTTACCTGTCAACGGCACAAAACTTGACAGTTTTAGGCAGAAAATTAAATTTTTACTAAAATGCACTAAAGTGCAAAACTATTGACTACGCGTGTCTGCAGCACGATTAGACACATTTATATAGTTTATCAGAAGAAAAAAGTTGATTTGGGGGTGACTTGCTCTTTAAGGAAGGATGAGGAGACCTTTCAGCTGTTAGATTAAGGTGTTAAAAGGAGAAGAGTTTCACTTTGGCTTCGATTAACGGACACTAGGGATTGCTAAAAGCAAGCCCAAACTGCTAAGTATCCCTTTAAAAAGCTTGTGGGGGTATACTTTTAAAAGGGTGAAAACGAGGGTCCTTTTGAAATGCGTGACAATTCTCGTTTAAAGAAAAACGTAAGCATCTCGCTTCTTGAAACCAAAATACAATTGTTTAAACAATCCAGCCAGTGAGTTGAGGCCAAACTGATGTTCACTCTTGTTTTTACTCTTTGTCTAGTTCACGCTTTCTTTGCTTCCCCTCCAAAGACGTTACTCCTCCTTTTACTTCCAGACTCTGGCATGATGCCAACAATGAAGCAAACTTCTTTTTCTTGTGCTTTTATTGATTGTCGACGAACTGAAAAAGCTAACTGCTAGCCTGGCAGCTAGCCACTGGCGCCTCCCCGAGCCACCTAAGATTAATGCAGGTTCTGGCCAGTAGAGGGCAGCAGAGTGCGGCCCAGGATGAAGTCACCCACGTTTCTAGCTCAAGAACCACCGAAACCAGTTTGAAAGCAGCTTAAAGTGTTACAACCTCTTTAGTGTTTCTTTAAGTTGTGAGACGCTGTAACATCTGGAGGGAAATCAGGGACTCTGTTGCATGCAAACAGAGTGTTTTGTTTATTAAACCTCATTTGCAGCATTCAGTCATATGAATACGTAATGTATCCTGTTCTGTGAGAACAGCCGACGTAGAAAGTGATAAAAATAGCTTTTTAATGCTTATAGTATAAACAAGCGTGCTACAACACTAAAAACCCAACTTGTCAGATTTCACACCCTGTTACCAGATTAAAAACCATTTTCCCAAAGCGCCGGTTTTCATTCTAAATGTTTTTTTCATGCTAAATTGCCCAAGACTGCTTCAGGAAAGCCGACTCCTGGACTTTTCATTTCTCTTCCTCTGATAAATTAACCTGACGGGCTTAAATGACTCATCCATCTATTGACACGTTGCTGAATTTTAATGGCGCAGCAACAATGAGTGTTTAGTCCCAACACCTTTATGTGCTTTCTGGAACATATTTCATTAAAGTCCAAAACTAAACAGCTCACTGTGATGCCCTGCAGACAGTGGCATTTAAATGATGCAGACAGTGAATAAGCATTTTGAGTGTGGGCTGATTTATTTATTTTTTATGCTTAATAGCAGATAATTCTCCGAGCTTCAGCCTGGAACAATACAGCTGTGCTGATCCCCTCGGGGCCTTGGATTAGGTTTTCTATTTTTATTCTTTGTGTACACCGACGAAGCTCCAAAGTCACCCCACAGCACTTGAGTCATGCGGCACCTTCTGACCCCTCACACTGAACTCAAGCCCCTGCAGTGTTTGACCATCTCCACCAGCTTTAGCCTCATTAAAACCCACCTGGGAACAAAGATAATGGCAACAATTAGCATTTAAAGGCTCAAATGTAAACATCCCTGAAAATAATTGATATTTGTTTCATGGATTTTATGTGTTTTATGGTGGCTGATGAGGATAATTATGAAAAAAGTGGAAAAACTCATTAACTCAAGGCTGTTGAAGTAAAAATACTAATGTTTACTCAAGAACGTATGTCAAACTGAAGGCCTGCGGGCCAAATGTGGCCCACGCAACCATTTATCCAGGCCTGTACGATCACCAGGTTATGAAAAAACCCCAGAATGCACTGGGAGTGGCAGCGCTGTCACAAGCCTAGCAACACCACCTCTCAGGCAACTCAAACGGTTTCAGAATTCAGCAGAATAGACTGTGAGCAATTATGATTTTAGGATTTTTCCCTGATTTTTGTTTTAAACAAACTCATCTGTGATTTTTTAAGCAGGAGTGTGAAAATTGTGGATATTGACTTATCCCAGAAGCAGCTCACGGCAAAAATAGAGCCCAATTCTATCTTTAGAGGCGTGGCGCAGAGCAGCGAGCTGCTTCTGGGACGTGCCTGAAAAGTTCCACGTCGCAGCCAGTTTGGATCGACCCTACAGATTTACAGTAAGCAGATTCTGTTTGAAGCAGCGACATTCTGCTGCCGTTCCGTGCCGCTGATGCCTCCAGTGTGGATTCGGCTTTGGGGCACAGGAAATAACTTCTGGGTCGCTCCTGTTACTGGTTTGGGTTCGTCTCAAGACACTGCTGCGCTTCCCTGGCAGGTGTGGAATTACAGATGTTGATACAGCAGCGCTTGTTTGTGGCAGACTTGGCAACCCCACAGGCTCACAGATAGTAAACAAAGACTACGTCTCTTAAAAGGAGAAAACTGGCAACTCCCAGCCGAGATAGAAGGACATCTGTTTCGATGTAAACTTCCTTCCAACATGAGTGAGACATTAGATTGTTTTGTAATTAATTCACAGTAAAATTCTTACTTATTGTACCTTTAAAGTTTGTAGGTTAAAGGCATTTCCTACATGATGCCAACAAAACAAGAGTCATCAAATCTAAAAGAAATCAAAAGACTTTGTGATGTTTTATTTGAGAAGAATAGGATTGATCAAAGAGATTTGATTGATTTCCTTTTTAAAAGCAGATTCTTGTCTCAGCAAACCACAATCTGCACTCAAAACAAGGACATGCGAAAAAAAGGAAATTAAATCTACCAGTGTAAAACAATTTATTAGATCTAAAATTGTGTAAAAGGCTTGAGAGAATAATTTCAACCATACAAACATTAGGTTTATCTGTTTCCACCAGTCAAAATCAGAAAAAACACGTCAGATCTGAATATTTAGAATGAAAAAACACCTGAAACACGGACAACTGCTTTTGATTTTATGTTAGAAATATTTTCTATAACTGGTAAGATTGTGAATTGTCAAGGTTGCAATGTGTCGACATCTTGCACACACGCACGCACGCACACACACACACACACGCACACACACACACACACACACACACACACACGCGCGCGCGCACGCACGCACACACACACACAAATTAGTCGAAATCAGGATGAAACATTCCTGTTTTATTTAAAATCCCTAATTACAACCGATTAGTATTTTAACCTGGTTCAGACGAACCGAACCACAAGAACTCAACAGCGTTTCTGCGCTGTGTCACTTTTCCCTCATGTAGAGATGACATCGAACAAACAGACAGATTTTATTATGCCTTTTAAACTCCCATCCACCTCAGCGCTGGTTATTTGAAAGCTGCTGCCCACACACACTGCGCCGCTTGCTTTGGTGAAGGATAAAAAGACCAAACATTGACTCAAAAAGAACCCGTTGATGGGCCTGAATTCAGCATCAGGATAATGCAAGCGGTTAAATGTGAATCCGGCGCTGTTTGTGTATCAGTAACGTTTCTGTCGTCTTCTCCTGCAGCAGGACGGTGGAAGTCTCCCACAAGCTGCACACTGCATATGGTACCAGCTGAACAGTTCACAGAATGGGGGGAGATGGAGCTGCATTATCACTGTTCTCCTGTGGTAGTTGCCATGGATACGAGTGTAGGTGGTGTACAGTGCTGTACTCGGTGCTGTACTCCTTCCCCTGTCCTCTCCCCTCTTCTGTTGCCCACCACCCTCCTCTCTCTCTCTCCTTCTCTCTCTCTCTCTCTCTCTCTCTCTCTCTCTCTCTCTCTCTCTCTCTCTCTCTCTCTCTCTCTCTCTCTCTCTCTCTCTCTCTCTCTCTCTCACTCTCTCTCTCTCTCTCTCTCTCTTTGCTCTGCTATCTGCAATATCCGCGCAACTTTCCCTCCTTCGGATGGCCTCGGATCTTGAAATCATTCACGTGGATCACCAGTGACTACTTCCAAGACTTACACACAACAATATGAGCTATTAGTATTATTATAGTATTTCTTATTTAGAATAAAAAAATAACTGCAATCCCTCAGATTTCAGTTTTGTCTATAATCTGCATTTTTTTTCTTGCTGACAGCCCAAATTCTTCTGCACGTTCTGCTTTGTCAATCTCTTCTCTTTGCACAGAAGCTATTCTTTTATCAGTTTCCATGGAGATTTGAGTTTGTATGTGAAGATGCTAGTGACTGAAGTCAGAGCTGTGAGTGAAAGAGTGAGAATGTGTCATTTCCAGTTGATATTTTTGGTGTAATACAGAGAGAGTGCATGAGTTGTCCATTGTCCTGGGATGGACTTACACACACACACACACACGCACGCACGCACGCACACACACACACACACACACACTGGTGCAGCTCCAAGTTCAGATTCCTTACATAGTGCTGTGAAAAAGTGTGCACCGCCCTTTCATATTTCTTCTGGTTTTGCTTTTTGTCACATTTGGTAAATGATTTTTTTATACCAGACAAAGAAAACCCGAGTAAATATAGAATGCAACTTTTACTGAGGCAAACGAGCTCTCCAAAGCCGCCTTGCTCTGTGCTGAAAAGTCATCAATCACTAAAATAAATGGTGTAACACTCTTGGCCTCTGGCCCCCTTGTGGCCTGGGGCCCCTAAACAATTGTCTACCCTGCCTGTCAGCACGCAGCACCTCTGGTTTGAGCTGGAACGGGACAGACACCTTCTAAAAAGTTCTACTTTAGTCTCATCAGTCTGCAGAATCTTTTCAGAAAAGTTCCATTTTTGATAACTGTGAGATGAGCCTTTGCATTTGGTCCTTTGTAATTTCTGCATGGAGGCCATTTAGCCACACGTTTCATCTCTTACATATTCTTGAGTTGTTACCTCTGACCTTAAAGACCAAGTTCAGTTTTTAACTTATTTCTTAAAATTGTAATCTGAGTTTCACATGTAGGTTAGTTTTTTTTAACCCTATTTGCTGTATTAGCTGCTGATAGAAAATAGACGAGGAAACACTTGGAAAATGAAAAGCCAATCAATTTTACACCACATTGTGAAATTAGCGTTCATAATCTCGCCCATCTTAGCTCAAAACGGGGGAAGGCTGTCGTTGATTTAGCACCCAGGAGAGAGCAGAGCATGTCTGCTAACTGTTAGCATTAGTAAATCCACCACATGGCAGAACTCCTTTAGGCCGTTCTACAACCCCTTTTGGCTGGTCTGTTGTTGAAGGAAAGAAGAACACCCTTTGTTTCTGGCAGCTCTTCCTGTTAAACTCCTCAGGTGCAGCTGTACTGGAACGAGAGGGAGGAGGAAGGGTGGAAGCCCATATTTGGTGTGTCACTGTCCTGGTGAAGGACTCTGGGAAGCAGGAGGTGGTGCTGACTGAAGTACTGAGCTCCTGCTCCTGGCCAAAGAGGCCGGAGCCGTAACATGGAGACAAAACATCAATGTTGCAAAGCAAATGGAGTCAGTGGTAGAGTCGCTTTGCAGTTATCCAATCAGAGGCAAGATGTCAGAATAAATAAGACTCCAAATCTGCTCTGGCTCACGTCTAGTTCCTGAAACAGGAGTGCCAGAGTTTTTTTTGACTCACAAGGCCTTAATTTTTACCAGAGACCACTGCAGATGTATTGAAAAAATAAGTGAACTTGGTCTTTAGCTTTAACCAAATGAGGCCTGCAGTTGTTATTCTGGGTTATTAAAATGTTCTAGAGAATTGGGGATTATGTGTTGCTTTTTGAGATATTTTGGGCTACTTCACATTGTCAGACCAATTCTAGTAAAGTTTTTTCTAATCTCTACAGGTCTGGTAGTACTCAGGCCTGGGTATGGCTACTGGAATTACATAAAAAAGAACAAAGGACGCCTGCAGTTGGTTAAAATAATAATGTCACTTTGTTTTTGTAAAATAAAAAGAACCAAACAGAAAAAAAACAGGTGTGCATCCTTACCACACAGACGTGTCACATGGCATCCCTTTAGAGAAGGACTTCCTGTAACACAAAATCATCACCTTTCTGGTGTCGTGTTTTAGGCAGATCAAACCGTGACTCATTATTTCAAAGCGTTCAAACCATTCAGATATAAGGTCATTATTATTATTTCGTATCCACAATTATCATAGTTATTATGTTTGTGATGCAAAAGGGAATAAAATAATAAATAAAACCCTATCAGGGTCATACATTGTTTTAGAGGGATTTATGTAACACCATTTTTCCTATATTATGCTAACGAACCGATTTATGACACACTGAGATGATTTATGTAACCTGTTTACATCGTGAAAAACAAAAACAGAAAAATGGCTGTTTCCTCTGCACATCTGAACCCACATGCACAATTTTATTTTTTAAAGAGACGAGAATAAAAATCCGCTGAACTTTTTTAAAGAGTTTCCCTCCAGGTTTTTCCTTCCTGTGTGTTTTGGTCGTTGGAGTTCTGATGGTTTAAACGTTTCAGGTTTTATGCTAAATGAGTAATTCAATGACTTGAAAGTGGAGAAACTATTTATTAAAGTTCAGATGGGTTTACGCAAACATCACATTGGATTTGTTTAGGATTACAGGAAGATTCCACTAGTTATAAACCAAATAAAGAGTTTGTGTGTCATCGGGTCCACTAATCTGCCTTCGGAGGCTGGGATATGTAAAGTCGTATGTATCTGAAAGCTTTTAACAGTTGATGCAGATGTGTCAGAAACTACAAATCAAACTGAGTAGTCTGGCCTTGTAGCTTGTTTTTGTTGCACGAATGGCAACTGCATTCTATCTAAGGTGTGCAGGTTTTATTATTTCAAAAGGCCAGCCAGTTACGTTGGCTCCTATAAATGTGCTTCTCTGATGGAATGCAAATGTTGGGTTTCTCGTTATTTCTTCCGGGATGCAAACATGCTGCTTGATTTTACTCCATTTATCACTTGGAACCACTGTACAGTGCCGTGCAGAGAACTTTGAAGGGGCGGGTGGCCGAAGTTTAAAACGGGCACATGTAGGGCAAGATTATTGAAGAGATTCATGATCCAAAAAGTTTCAGAAAATTATTTAAAATGAAAATTACTTCCCTAAATATTTATTTCTAGGGATGTTCCATCCACATTTATTTGATCCCCGATCCCAGTCTGTCTCTACCCATGATGGTCCCAATATCTGACCTGCATCCATTCATTACAGCATAACTGTTTCTGGTTGGTAAAAACTGATGGTAGAGTGGAAAAGGTAGACTTTGAGCACTAAGGACTAAAAGGTCGGGTGTCCAAGCAATCTCCCTCCCCATCCCTCTGCACTTGCCTGCCATTGTCCAATGAGCAGCTGACTGATCTTCTGTTCGTTAGATTATTTGGAGCCAATGTGGACTTTCCTGAATACATGTAGCTGAACAATATTACTTTGGAAACAAATGTAGGGCAATCATTCAGCGTTCCCTAAGGAAATAGTTGTTTGATTGCTAGTGTTAAAGGGATATTTAGCAACTTTTTCATATTTTAAATAATTTTCTTGAGCCATTATGTGCCTTTTCAGGGAAAAGCCACCCAGCCCCTATCTCCCACTGTGGACAGAATATTCCACTTGCAACTTCCCAGTTGCCAGTCCGGTCTGTTGGGAAAAATTGAGTTGACCTACCTGACGCTGCTGTCTGGCTTCAGCACAATTCCTGCATGTTTTAGTTCATGAACCCAGCTGATTTGTTTTGTTTAATGTCGATTCACTCTTACAGACACTTCGGAACACTAGGACGCTAAGGTGTAATAAAAAGACAAACGCACAGCGAGAAGATAGGTTTTAGTTTCACTTCCACAAACGGACACTAGGGGGTGCTAAAAGCTAGCAAACTGCCTATTATTAATGCTAAAATCTCAGCAATATCAACACAACACACTTAAAACAATAAATACCGTAAATCCTCTAATACAGGCCCGGGCCTGTATTTCACTCAAGCTCATCAATCTCCAGGCCTTTATTGGAAGGAGGGCCAGAATTAGAGGCAGGCCTCAATTTCTATTTGAGCAAAATGAACTAATGGTTCGCTGGAGTTTTTGACAATTAAAATTGCGCCCACATTTTCAAAGTTAAACACATTTCTTTTAACAACGGTAGTTTCTGCTTCAGCCCTCTCCCCCCTCCCCCTGTGCAGCGGCCGCAAACTCACTGATGCGCCTGCAGCCTCTCGGAGTTCCTGCTGCTCTAAACATTAAAATAATTATTTCATTTTCTGTTCCTCACTTCTGATTACCTTCAATGGTGTCTGTTTGTTGCAACCACCAGGTACAAAAACTAACTTGTTTTTATTTGACTATTTTTCTGTCCTGCCTGTTTATTATCTTCCTGCATCTCCTCTCAATCCTAAAGAAAAACTGCTATCTGGGTTCATATATATTCACCTCATGAGTTACCTTTGAACTGCAGTTCTAAAAGATCTACCGACCGCAAAAACAGCGGAGTGCTCGCCGGCCACATCAGTGATCGGTGCGTCACCAAGGACAAAACAGGTGATGCGCCCCGATCCACAGCAGCGAAACGCATCAGGCACAAATAAAAGAATAAAAGACAGAAAACATAAAAGGAAATGAGCCGACATGAACGATTGCGTGTTGAATTAGTTTTTGAGGTGGCGACACCTAATTTGATCATGTTACTGTGGCCGTGCTCAGGACGCAGATGTCTGGAGCACGTCAACAATCAGAGCTTTGCATGCGCAAGCTGGTTAAGGTTAGGATGGGGGTGAGGGGAAGGTTAAATTGCAAGAGGGTAAAGGTCACAATTTGGTTAAATGTCCGTTTTACAGCGGGTGTCAGTACCGACGCTCTGGCACAGCGCGTTGCTCCCCGACGCGCAGGAGCTCGTCACCTGCTGACAGCAGGCTGCTGTCTTTTCCGTGGACTGCATCTTGCCGGTCATTATCACGTGACAGCGACTAGTCCATGACAGGCATAACAAGTCACTATAGAGCGGTGAAGTCGACTAGTGACTAGTTCATACAACCCCTACTGCTCCCCAGAGTGTTCTGCAGCATAATCAGCACGTTCTCTTTGAACTTGATATCAAATTTTCGCCTCTTCTTCGTCTCCGCACGGTTAAAGTTACCCTCGCGGTCTATCACTGGCAAATCAAAAGTGAGACGGATGACACAGCCGCCCCCTGTACTTGCTTGTTACCACATTCCACCCGGCCACAATAAAAAAACGGCCATTATTCACCTCCACCGACTCCGACACTGGCCAAAATATGATACCCGGCAGTTAATTAAATACAGGCTAATATTAGAGGATTTACGGTATCCACGTAAATAACTTCCACATGGAAAATAGTAAGATTGCTACAGATTATGCAAAACAATTATGAAAAGTTACTGTTGAGTTAGGTTGTAGTACCCTTCATCCACCACAGGGAGGAATCTGCAGCCACCACAGCAACCCATTTCTTATGCTGGTTCAACAAACCACACACAAAAAAAGGGAATTTAGGAAGTTTTATTGCACAAAGTAGAGAAAACAAAACAAGTATACATGTACCATAACAAATTCTTATCATCAACCAGACTGTTCTCTTGATTACAAAATTGTTCCAAAAAGCTCATTGCCTGTTTCATAAATGTTTTGGATTGTGCAGGGTGCCTTTTAAAGCACACATAGAGAAAGCTAGAACTTCCTCTAATCTTACTAAGCCACTGGAAATGTTCTGCTGCCATGCAAGAACTGAATTAAAAGAAGTAATAACTTTCAGTCAATTTAATCGAACCAAGGAAATCAGATGTGCATGCTCTTCCTGCAGCGTGTTCCCCAGGTCCTTTGTTTGAATTCAAGATGTAGAATGACCAAAATGAAAGAAATCAGTCATGGAAAATAACATTTAATCCATAAAAATGGCATGTGAGCTTGAACAAATTCATCCTGTGGTGACCTTATCCTGTAACATGTTACTGACATGAGTTGGCTCTGTTGTCTGTGCATAAACAAATACATTCTAAGTAACAGTGGAGCATAAAACACCCAAATCCTGCTTGTATAGACTTGCAATGAACTCACCACAAACACGGGAAAAGTTTTAATAAAATATACAACAAATGAAGGTTAAAAATTAGGTTGAAAATTAAAGAAACCAATACTCCCTCTAGTGGCTGGCTGCAGTATAGGTTCCCACCGTTCCCTTGTAAACAAATAAGACATTTTTCTCTAACTATAAACATTCCACAATTAAGGGTTAAATACAGCTAATTAAAGAAATCTACCTGTTCATGGGTGTTTTACCACATCAAGATATTTTTTTATTAAAAAAACATTGTGATAAATTGAAATGTTCATACACTTCATGGAAAATGTCTTTTTAGAATTAGCACACTAGCCTTTTAGTAATTCTATTGAGATTTTCTGAAATAGTTGAATATAATGATTACCATACACCTCGCTTGAATGATGCAGAAGTGTTGTCTTTTGTTGATTTACATAGTTTTTGCAATACTAAAGAACACATCAGCATTTATTTTTGCTAGATAGTTCTAAATAATATATATCCATCAGATAATATTTGTTTAGCTTGCAGACCAACCAGGTTGACTGTAAAATCCAATGCTTCTAATATAGATATTAAAGGGCTTGACTTTTAGTAACAAATACACCAAAAGTTGGCTTCATCTGTAAAATTGACAGAAAGGGACTTCGCTGTGTTTAATAATGCTGTGGCGGCCATCTTGAACAGTGCATATTCAACAATTACTCTCTGAGGGTGTTTCTCAATGTCAAGGCGCCTGGCCTTGCAAGGCGATGTCTTGTGAGGCCAGGCTCCTTGCTTACAAGGACACTGTACTTCCTTGGTCAAAGAAAACGGTTAAATGGGACAGACTTGCATCACATGACCGTGGCTTCCACGGCGGTCATGTAACGTCACGTGACACGGGAGATAATGTTATATTTTATAGGTATTAGTTTCAATATAAATGTATAACGAGCCTTTTACTTTTAAATTTTGTATATGTTTATTAAATAAAAAACATAAGTGAGTTACTACCCGCTAGCCACCGAAGCTGCAACTACCAAGCAACTAACCAACAACAGATAACTTCTTTGGATCTAAAAAAACATTTTTAATTAGTTGGCTTACTTTTAAACTTGAAAATTCCCCCCAAAGTAGCTGCCAGCTTCTGATCCGACGTCCTTTTGAAAATACAGCTGTGTATTCTGGGTAATTTTTGACCAAGGCCAGGCTACAAGACACCTCCCTTGTATCCTCACTCAGCTAGCTAAATGGCTAACAAAAGGAGAACACACGCCTCGGTAGAACATGAACAATGGAACACGTCTTGGCCGCTCCCGATGACGTATCTCCTAGGCAACCAAGGCAGGGCCAAGACATCAGGGCAAGGTTTCTTGGCATTGAGTAACACCCTGAGCGTTTTGATGGTTCTGTTATAACTTCATTGGGCCATATGAAAAACATTTTCACCCTCAAGACAAGTGTTTAATGAAAATTTGCTTCATTAAAGTTCACAATGGTAAGCTAATAAATGTCTCACCTCATCACAACACATTACCCTACTTTGCTAATTAATAGCAGAGACTGACAAACCTTTGATCAATTAGCACTAGGATTATGTGTTGAATAATGATCTCGTACTGGGGCACCTAATTTAAACAAAATTTCAGCAAAATTAACAGAGTTAAAGGTATGGAAAATCGCTTAATCAATACATTTGCAGTGGTTTCTGGTAGGAATGAATGCCTTGCAAGGCGTATTCGGGGCAAAAATAGCCCCACAAGTGCTTGGATCAGCACAGACAAGACTGCTGCAGCAGAGAGTGGCATAACACGGCAGGATTTGAAGTAATTATTTTCTGATTTTTGGACATCTTAGCTTAGATAACAGCAACGCAACTCTACCTCTGACTTGCAACGTGGATGTTTTATTTCCACAAATAACACAAGCCTGGAGGTGCTTTTCTGTGTAGTGGTGTTGCTAACGCTAACATTTAGCTTCTACTGGCTGGGACGTTGCCTGCAGATTCCTGAAAGTTAAAACAACAACAGCTTTTGCTGTTGCTAGTCAAGATGGGTGAGTCCAAGAATATTAAGTAGCATGACATAGCTGTCAGGCTTTTCAAATCCTAGATTTTCACCGTCTATTTTCTATTAGAAGCTAAGCAGATAGGTATAGAAGACTGTGTAACCGAGCATTCCAGAAAGAGACGGGAGAGGATATAGGACTGTGGTTGCTCAAGAAAAGGTTGATAACCGTGAACTCTCAGGGTCGCTTTATTTAACGGCACCATTAACAACTCTGCTCCAACTTCTTTTTTTTCTCTTTCCAAACATCACATCCTGTCAGCAGCACCTTCAAAATAAAAGTCCCACAAAAGTGGGTTACAGCTGTTTTCATGTTCAGCCTGCATGATAAAGTCAAAGTGACTGATTAGGATCAGAAAAAATAATTTAAAATATGGCTTTTCAGAGTTCCACACCTTTAAAGCCGTTTTTGTCTTTGTTAATGCTGTTAGTCGTAGCAGTGGCAGCCATCTTGAACAGGGCTATTTACTTGTAATGTAGTATTCAGTGAGAGTTTTGGTGGTTCTGTAATACATTTTGAGGGCCATAGGAGGAATATTATCAGAAATAATCAAAAAGGCAAGTGATTTAAGAAAATTAGCATCATTGAGTTTACTGGGTATCGAGTGTCTGGCCTCGTCACAACACATTAGCCTAATTTGCTAACTAATGACTTTGTGTGATCATTTTAGTCTTTCATTATATAGTGAAAAAGACAATCTTCTACAGGAACACCCAATTTAAACCAATGTTTTGCTAAATGAACAGAGATAATGTTATTAGCTGTGTCGGCCATATTGAATGGAGCTAATTGCAAAAGTTTTTGTTTTTAGCCTTTTGACAAAATATCACTTCTATCTCAGTGTCTCTATTCCTGGTATTTTCTAGCTTTAAAAAGTCTAGATAAGGCTGGGCGGAATCGGTAGCTTTTCTGAGGCGTTGGTTTCTCCTCTATCCGGTTATTATCTCCGCCCTCTGGGCAGAGGCTTCTTCCTTCACGGAGCTCCTTTTCCTCCTGTTTGTTTTTGTTATTTTTCGCTCACCGGCGTTCAATCAAAATTAGGTGTGACGGATAGACTTCAGCAAATCGGCGCCGCGTCAATCCAGCCCTCTGCTCATGGTTTATTCCTATCTGGGGGAATTATGGACGCGTCGTTGTGCCATGCTGGGTGAACTGCAGACGCTCCAAGACTCAATCACCCACCCGAGCTTCAGAAACGAGGAGCACGGCAGAATGGTAGTTTTAGAAGCTCCTTCACGTTCTTAAATATATTTTGCAAGTGATTTTTTTTTATCTATGTTGAGGCTTTTTTTCTGAGAACCAGGGTGAGAGACTGTTTTTCTTTGGCCCAGAGTTCTCCGCGATCACCATCTTTATAGGTAATAATCAATTCAATTAGTCAGTGCGCACGGCTTTTATGATGTAGTTGCGGTTCGTTTTAGCCAAACAGGAGTTCCTTCCACCCCCTGGCAGAGACGCAGCGCCCAGACCGAACAATTAAGATGATAAAAGCCGTCCCCGGTGGAGATTTCAGTCGTTACCGAGCGAGCTGCTGCACCGGGATACATTGCGAGGATTTGACCAGAGTTGGACGACAGGCAGCAGGAGGAGGAGAGAAGGAGGAGAGGAAAGATGCTCAGCCGCCGCTGATGGACCAGATGCGGCTCCAGTGATGGACTGAGCTGGCGTGTTTTCATTTGTGGACACGTTTTGAAAAACGGGAACCTGCTCTGATCTAAACCAGCTAATAAGAAGAATGTAATAATGAGTAATACAGCGTTCACAGATAGCAGCACTGGCCTTTTATATCATCTCCTCACAAACTGATTGCGTCTGTGCACAAAGACGCCTCTCCTTTCCTCTTGAAGTGCCCAGCAGACCCACAGGATCCAGTCTGCACCCACAGATGTAACTGATCTGTCAACGATTTCTCCATTGGATTGTCCTGTCTTTTTGGGTAAGTGTTGTGTGGGCGGAGAGCGAGGGAGAGGAAGTGGCAAACATAAAGATGAAGCTCACTGTGAGGTGTTTTAAGGAGTGTTGGTGACAGCAGCTCTGAGGAGGGTGTTAAAGAGGCTTGTCCACCTTTTACAGCCTGTTTGTGCTCGGCGTAGGCAGATGAGTTTACACCAGATGTTCATGCTGCAGGAGAGAGAGAGAGAGAGAGAGAGTGAGAGAGAGAGAGAGAGGGAGAGGGAGAGGGAGAGAGAGAGAGAGAGGTCCAGCAACTTCTGGCCATCTGTTGTTGGACATGGACATTCAGGTTTAAAAATAAGTGTTAGAGGTGGTTCTTCGCCTGAAGCAGAGTTCAAGTATCTCATGATGGAGAGAGAGATAGGCCAATGAATGAGGGTGTTGCTCACGGTGAAGAAGAAGGTCCATCTACGTTCAGACCGTGCAGAGATTTGCATCATGACCAAAAGAATGATCTTCTAGATTAAAAATGTCATCTAAAGTGGGGCAGCTGCTCCTCCCTAACAAAAAGGGATGACTGCCTCTGTTTTTCACATGTCCCAGTAGGAGGAAACCATCAAAGCAAATTAAAAATCACTGCAGAGGTTTGCTGGTGAAGTTTCTCAGTCACCCAGGTCGGTAATCCAAGGGATTCAAATGAAGGCAACTGGACTACTTTGATTTGTAGAAGACGTTTTGCTTCTCATCCAAGGAGCTTTGTCAATTCTGACTGGAAAATGGGAGAGTTGTGCTTGTAAACTGTAGCTGTCAGTTGTTTCTTAAGAGTTAAAATTAAAGGGGTATTCCACCCCTAAGTGAAAATTTGTCTGTTTCCATATTCCCCAGAGTTAGATAAGTGAGAAAAAAAAAAACATTTTTGTAACCCGCTCAGTAATTCTCCTGGTCTGGCAGCAGTCTGTCTGCTTTAGCTTAGCATAAACAATGGAAGAGAATAGCAGCAACTAGCATTTTGTGTGCAAAAGTGATTAAAATGACTAAATAATGATACCAATGATTCTCAGTGAGCTAAATAATCAAGTCTACTGCAGTTGAAAAGTAAAAAGTAAGACGAATGATTTCCAGGAGCCGATTTAGACTTGGGACTACGTTAGGACAAAGCACCGCTGTAACCCGTACAGCGATGATTTGTTGTAATCTAGTCCCAAGTTTAAATCTGCTCCTGGAAATCATTCGTCTTACTTTTTACTTTTCATTTGCAGTCGACTTGATTATTTAGCTCACTGGGAATCATTGGCATCATTATTTAGTCATTTTAATCACTTTTGCACACAAAATGCTAGTTGCTGCTATTCTCTTCCATTGTTTATGCTAAGCTAAAGCAGACAGAGTGCTGCCAGACCAGGAGAATTACTGTTAAAAATGCTTTTTTCTCACTTATACAATACAATAGACTAAATATCTCTTAGGGGTGGAATATCCCTTTAAAGTCCCATTAGTCATCACACACTGGTGAAAATCATCTTCACGTTTCACCAATCCTCATGGAGAACGGTCAACTGCGGCTGCGCTTGGGAACTATTTGTTGATTTAAAGTGGTATGACCCAACCGAGATTTGAACCCAGAACCCCCAAGCGCCCCCAAATAACTAACTGCAACTAAAATGCTCGGGGAAACAACTAAATTTAGAGCTGCAAAGTAAGTGGATAAATGTAGAAAAACGAACACCTGAAAATGTTTGTCGTTAAAAAAAATCCCGTTATTTTAAGTGAAGTGGGTGGGACTTAAACTATTGTCTGCTGCCAGCCTCTAGGGGGCGTTTTGGTTTATTTAGGCTTTATCGTCTTTGTTATTTGCTGATTAAAACATAGTGATTCTTATTATTAGCAATAAAGTCAACTTTACTGAAAAATGCCTTAAACATTGTAAATTTAAAAATTGTCAATTTAAAAACCACACAGATGTCAAAATGTTTCTTTGGCAAAAGTAGAATGTGCATTTGAAATAAATATTATTCATTAATGTAAATTTACTGCAAATTTATAACGAGCCTCAGTAGCAATTAGCTACTCGTTGGGACTTTCATGCTATGTCACTGATACCTGGAGTTAGCTAATTAGCTGTCTCTGCTCACAGACACCTGCACAGACCACAGGGGGGGTTCGGCCAGCTGGATTATCCATCAAAAAGCCAATTGTGTAACTCCCTCATGCCCAGACAAAATAAAAAAAAATCATTTTAGCTTATGTAGTTTAGTTTCCGTTAAGTAGTTTTGGTTGAAAAATCCACAAAATAATAATCACAGTTGGTGAATTTTGCCCAGAAGCCTTTTTGTTTCACCAGATGTTTCCATACATGCAGTGAATTATTTATTCGTTGCTATGGAGGCGTTCCTTATCTCATCTGATTTAGTTAATGTTTGGGCTCTGTGCACGGCCACCATGTTCATGATCCATCGTGTAGCAGCTTTTGCACACGGGGCTTTTCCATCTCAACCAAAAATAATAAAAACTAAAAAATGCAGCGAAGAGAAGAGAAGAGAAGAGTGCTTCTGGTAATGAAACGTCTCCGGCTGCTGTCCTGATGGACACGATAAGTCCTGCTCACTCTGACTCAACCTCCCCCTCACTGGATTTCCTCACCCTCCCTGATATGAAACAGCTATCAGTGTCTCTTCATAGTTACTTTGTTGCTCCAGCTGAAATAAAAAGACATGAATCACTGACATCAATTAATTTGTTGCAGATGGTTGAGAATCTGGACTCTGTCGGCAAATAGCCGAGTTTCCTCCAAAAGCCAAGTTTCCACTACAATCGTCCCATTCTTCGTCCACTGTTGGTGCCATGCATGGATGGGACTTTGTCTTTCTGCCAAGGACAGAAAACACTTTGACAGTCTGGGTTAATTCGCTCTAAAAATAAGTAATAAACAACGGTACAGACCCATTGGCCAGCTTGTGTCCTGGAGTTTTCAAAAAATGCTTTCCAGTGCCTTAGGCCATACCATCTTCATCTTTTAGGCAAATCAATGGAAAAAGAAGATATTTTATCCAATTACATTTAATCCTTCACCATTCTAGTTTGGTTTTCTATTTTGAAACAACTTCATTGTATCAGAAACGCCCCAAACCCTTCCTCCTATTTATTTCTGCTAACATGGAGGGTTGATAAGGTTTCTGTCATCAGGTTGTCAGCAGGGTGGATGCAATACACCGTGTAGACACCAGCACTTCTACTAATGTGTTGGGACAGAAGAGCTTTTTTAAAATTTGCAAGGACTGTGCATGAACGTCAAGGCAAAGCAATGTAAATGGGACTTGAGGAGAGACTCAGATGTTGAGATGCAGCTCTTCAAAGTAGGATAATGCTGAGAGTTTGGCAAAAATAAATATATTTTCTGCAAACTGAAGAGGCCAGTTTACAGAAGATTCTTACATTGACTTTGACTTTCCTCATTTATTTACTACCGTTATTTTTCAGAAAGCCTTAACTGAAAAATACATCTTGTCAGTTATTTTTGGCCAACGTAAAATATTTTCATGCCTTTCAATCCTGCAAAAAATTCTAAAAAAAAAAAAAAAAAAAAAAAAAAAAAAAAAGTGGCGATTGATAACAATTTTCCGTTCTATCTGTTGAGGGACAATTGCAGTGTGGAGGGAAAAGTTCAGACCTTCTTTCTTGTAATTTTGATGATTATGGCTACAGATATTTAAAAAAAATCATCCGTGTCAAGGAAAATGTAAATATTGTGAAAAAGTTGAATCAAGGTGTCGGCTAATTAACAAAAGACACCTGCAAAGATTTCCTGAGTCTCTAAATGGTCTCAGTCTGGGTCAGTAAATGTAAATGGCCTGTATTTATACTGCCTTCTAGAGTTCTACAACCCCCCAAGGTGCATTAACATGACCAGTCATTCGTCCATTCACATTCTGGTTAGGATGAGCTACAATGTTGATTGAACCCCCCCAAGGACACAATGACTGTGTTACAGGGCGGGTACTTAACTCCTCTGCCGCCGTCACTCAGTTAGCGTTACATAGTCGCGGGGAAGACGGCTGGCTGGACAAACGTCCGTAAGACGGAGAAACCATCTGCAAGGAGGGTAAGCTACAAAAAGTCCCAGCTAAATGAGCTGGTTGGTCACAGAGTGCTGTATACAAGGTGTCTAACCATGCTCCATTGGAGCCTCAGCAGGCCTGACTATCTTGTGTCCAGCCAATCACAGCGTTCAGTTCATTTGGTGGGCGAGGTTTGCAGCGGAACGGAACAACTGAGATGGTGGCAGCTCGTTAGAAACGGTGTCGGTACAAGATCTGCTCGGGTGCAAGATCGGCTCGGGTCCGTCGACTGCCGATGACGTCTAAGTAGTTGATTGGCTGAACATGAACCTTACGGAATTACGTAATCACGTAACGTTGTTATCACGTGACGTTGGTCCAGGCAAATTTTTTCTATTGGAAAGATGGACAACTTTTACAAAGAAATCCATCATTACCTCTTTGAAAATATACTTTTAGCATAGAGCTGCAAGTATAATAGGGCTGAACGATTAACTGCATGTGCAATTAAATTGCGATGTGACAAAAGGAGATTTTCTAATGGCAAAGGCTGCAATTTGGCAGCGAGTGGTTAGCGCAATGCTAATATACATGGAAAAACCCATAGGAATGCTAATGCTAATATCGCCGATTACATTATTACAAATTTTGAATTAGAAACGTGCCAAATGATTACATTTGGAGTCTAATAGAAAGTAAAACTACCATCAATCAAATAAGTACAGACAGGTATTTTAGTAAAGCCAGAAAACTTTTAACTCCAGAGCTTTTGGCTAGCAGCTCTGAGCGTAACTGAACTACGCATGGACAAGACGTCAAAAACTCAACACAAATACTTCAATAAACGGGACACACTTCTTTCCTGCAAATACAATTTCACAGGTGTTGCTAATACCTATGATTCTTCAAGAGATGTGCTCAAAGAGGAGCTCAACATGAATCAAATATAGTGTTTTATTTTACAAATACTATTATAAACACAAACTTACGTCTTAAGAAACATTATTTTAATAACGAAACTGCTAAATTCTTTCCAACAGTATAGATGTGTAGTGTATTTTGTCCGAGTGGGTTTGCCGTACTTTGACGTCATCGGCAGTCGAAGGACCCCGAGCCGATCTTGCACCCGAGCAGATACTGTACCGACAACGGCTTTGACATCAGCTTTGGACTTTTTAGACTTGGGCTTTTCTTTGAGTCAAGAGCAGACAGAGGAACTTCAGTTCTTTATTTAGAAAAAAGGATGTATTCACATCTTCTTCAGTGCATAGTGGACTACCCTGTTGACTAACATCCGTAGCGGTGAGTACGTTATGTTTTTGAAGGACAATTGTAGATTTCGTCCCACGACTGAACTCCGTTTACAAGCCGTAGCTACGGCTCGCAGGGCTAATGATCTCTAGTATGAATGCACTCTCATGCTCCTGTTTCTGGGGGTAGAAGTTTGTCCGAAGGGTGGGTGACAGAAAACAGCAGGATTACTAGTGTTACTGGAATATTCGTCATATGCAAATGTCCAGCCTCTAATTGGCCAACATCAACGCAATGCTTCCGATGCCTCCGTTCGCTCTTCTTTCTTGGGTAAAAAGTGCCACATTGATTTTTTTTATCTCAACATATAACTCAAGCCTAAATGTGTTCTGCCATGTTGTAGAGTTGCTATTGCTAATAGTTAGCTTCTACTAGCCAAAAAACGCTCTGCTATCTCAGTATCGCCCAAGGTGGGCGAGGTCTTGAATGCTAATTTTCCCTGTGAGGTAGAGCAGGCTGAATTTTTCTGACCCAACTGTTTCCCCTCTTTTTTTTTTCTCCGCTAATACAGAGGAGGGGATTAAAGACAATTTTCACATTCGGCATGCATGTGCACCTCAGATAGACTAATCACATAACAAAAAGAACGAGTTTTGCACGATTTCTCAGTGAACAATACTTTTCAAGAATCTGGGGAAGCCTCCCTAGGAGTGGAGGGAGGCTGGAGTCAGTGCATCAAGAGAATCTATGCACAGACCAGTCCTACACTTGGTCTACAAATGTCACATTCCTTCTGTCAGTCTACCCCTGAACCAGAGACAACATCAGAAACGTCTTAGCCTGGGAATATAATCGCTTTTTAACCTTGTGTTGATGCAGGCAGTACGTCACATCTGGCTCACATACTTTCTTCACTTCAAGTAGTACTGGAGGGTTCCACTAGGGGGCACAGTGCATAAAGGTTGGTTTATGCTTGACGCGTCCGCGAGGTCCGCACGGCTCCGCGCGGAGAAGTTGCGTCATTTTGCGTCATTTTAACAACCACGCCCCTCCACCGCGTCTCCGCACGGCCCAAGATTTCCGCAACGCGCACCTAGGAAAATTTCTAACCACGCGGACGGTCGGACGCGGAAAAACATGGCGGACTGGCACGGCAGAGGTTCGTAAATACAGACATTTGTATGATTCAGCTCTCAAAGATCACCGTGATCAACATGTTGTTAATAGTTCTTGGAGAGAAATAGCTCGCACTGTCGGAAAAGACGAGAACGCTGTTAAAAATGCTGAAATGTCATGTTGTAAACAGTAATTTCTACTTCTACTATGGTGTAGTGTTGGATGCTTGCCGTAGAGCTCCATGCTGCCCCCTACAGTTTGGGAGAATATTGGCTCACCGCAGAGACGAGCCGCACAAACCATAAACGCTGCGAGTTGTGAAGCGCGTTCCAGCCGCGAGCCGCGTCACCGCGCGGAAAGTGAATGCGTCAAGCATAAACCAAGCTTAACTCAGACCAGATGGAGTACTGGATTTGTAGGGTACAAACAAAGAAACGATAACCACAACAACAGATGAGATCAGCAGCTAGCTACTTTTGACATCTGCCGTGTACAAGCTGCACAAACAACGTTTCAAACAAATACAAATTACATGAGATAGCCATGATAAACACATACGTGTGATTCAAACTACTGTGGTCCTAAATCCTCTTTTTAGATGAAAGTAAAACCATCATATCCCTTGGAACGAGGCCCAGAGTTGACGTTGGGGCTCCATGTCATCTGCCAGTGTTTGTCCACGTTGCTCTCCTAAGTCCAACGTAGCCATCCACCAGGACATTTTAGAGGACTTCATGCTTTATTGAGACGCTTATGTCATTTCCCAGCAGGACGTGGCTGCTGCACACAAAGGTACCGATAGCTGGATCAATGACCTTGGTGTTACTGGGCTTGACTGACGTCTCCCATATAGAATCTATGGGTTATTGTCTAGAAGAAGACGAGACACCATACCCAACAATGCAGATGACCAGGAGCATGCTATCAGACTAACCATGGCTTCCATAGCCTCAGGCTGGTGGCCTCCATGCAGCGCTGATGCAGCAATTCATGCAAAAGGAGCCTCAACTACAGATGGATGCATAGAAATTAACGTATTTTCAGAAGTCTGACCTTTCAGTTAAAAATAACCTTTTTTTTTTTACTGAACTCATTTAACGTTCTAACTTCTGAGACACTGAATTCTGGGGTTTTATTACCGGTAAGCCATAATCACCAAAATTACAAGAACTTTTCCCACAACATTCAGACATTTTCTTTAGCTGTACCTGTTAAAAAAGCTCGTTTCCTAAAACGTATTCATGAATCTTTGTTAGTTTGCTTTTATTTAGTTACCAGTCAAATATGAGACACTTTCTGTTTCATTTGTTTCTGTTTCTAAATTCAAAATCAAAAACAAATAGGTGAAAAGACTTTTCTTCCCACCTCCACCCAGTTATTATTTCTCTTCCCTGTTTTGGCTGCTTGACCTTCGCTGTGGAGAATCTCAGACCTTTTCTGTCAGTGGAAAGTTCTTCTAAAACCCACCAACAGCTATTCTGGGAGACGATTTTGGTGCAACGAGACACTTTTACCAAACGCAGTTCAGAAATCCAAACTCTGCCTTTTCCCTCATTGGATAAAGGGAAGCTCTGTTTCTTCACTGAATCTGATTTTAAACGTAGAAAAATGAACAGCGTCTCACTTTTAAGCGACTAAAAGTCACGTCAGACGCACGCTAACGTTCTAAGTGGAGTACTTTCCAACACTTAGAAACCAAACGTGACTTTAATGCTGATTTGTCTGTGGGAATGCTTATCAATTAATCATGGGAGCAGCTTGTGGTTGACATTTAACTTGGAACTCTATAAAGGGCAACGACGATAAGCTGCATGTAGAGGAACCTTCCCTGCAGAAACATTAACTGGAACGAGCGTCTGTGCCCCTGATTAAACCTCCCGTTACGTCCGAGTCGCTCATCTAAACATTTGTTTATTTCTTTTCCAAGTCGGAGCTGTTTTCTTCCTAATTTATTCATTTTTCTCCAGATTTGAGTGGTTTATTGTTGCTTTTGCAGATTTATTGGTGTCCAAACAAAACTAAACCCCCCAAACTCTACTTGTGTCTGTGCCGTTTAGCTGCATGGACACATCTTCAAAGACGTGGCTGCCACATCAGGGTCAGTTTGGCTTGGTTGGTCAAGCGGAGGTTTGCTGTGGCGGACCTGGAGTGTTAACACCAAGTGAGTCGGTCTGGCCGAGACCAAGTCCGTCCTTCACTGTCACTTTTTGTGTCACTTCTCAGCCGTCTTCTCCAGTCTGCTTTACGGTCTGCTGAGGCTTCTGTTCTTTCTGTTTCTATGTTTTTAAATGTCTCTTGGGCTGCTGCTGTCTGTTTTCAATGGTCAGTGAAAATATTTTAAGGAAAGCACGTCTGTGCAGCGAGGATGTGAGTCCTCCACTAGCGTTGTCACACTCCCAGTGTTTTATTTTGACATAATCTCAGTTTTGATTGCATCCTTCGCCTCTCACACCAGCTCTTATGTTTATGTTTATTTTTATTTATTTGGCAGATGCTTTTATCCAAAACGACGTACAATTTTTAACATGTAGGGCATGTTGTGATCTGTAGGGGGAAACCGGAGTACCCGGAGGAAACCCACGCATGCATTAAAGTTAAAGTTAAAGTCCCATTAGTTGTCACACACACAAGTGTGTGTGCGACATTTGTTCTCCGCATTTGACCCATCCCCTGGGGGAGCGGTGAGCTGCAGACACAGCCGCGCTCGGGAACCATTTGGTGGTTTAACCCCCCCAATCCAACCCCTTAATGCTGAGTGTCGAGCAGGGAGGCATTGGGTCCCATTTTTTCAAAGTCTTTGGTATGACCCGACCAGGAATCGAAACCTGATCTCCCAGTCTCAGGGCGGACACTCTACCACTAGGCCACTGAGCTGGTACACGCAGAACACACAACTCCACGCAGAAAGGCCACAGCCGAGTTTCGAACCTGTAAACCTTCTTGCTGCGAGGCAACAGTGCTAACCACTGCGCCACCATGCAGCTCTTATGCAAGGTTCCACTTCCTAAGCAGTCTTTTCTTTTGCCCTTGGGAACAAGCATGAAAATCTCCTTCATTTCAAACCTTTAGGGAAAAATCTGGAATAAGATTCATTGTACTTTGAACACGCATCCTAATGTGGGGTTTTGATACCGGCGTGTGAACCTGAGCACTCCCAAGCGAAGCAATAACGCTCTTGAATACGATAAATGAAGGTATTTTGATGGAGAGCAGTGCACAAGATGTGAACACGTTCCTATGGTAACTAGGCCACACTCCCCTTGGCTTGTTTTCACGCACACACACACACACACACAAGCAGAGGATATGGGAATGCTGGAAAACACACGTGATGGACTTCAGGTTGTTTATTTACATTTCTGTTCCTCCTCTTGCGGGGCGTTATGTATAAAAATATGCTCTCTGCTATAAGAAACATTGGTCATGCTGCAGAAAGCTGAGTGTCACTTTTATAAGTGTGTGTGTGTGTGTGTGTGTGTGTGTGTGTGTGTGTGTGTGTACTTCTAGATTTTCCAAAAATATCTGTCAGGTTTCAGGCTGATTGCAGGTTTTTCCCCGTGGCTCCCTCGCCCACACTGCCCCTTCTTCCTCTTCTTCCTCTTCTCTCGGATCTGCCTCTCCTGTGCAGTTCACATTCAGCTCTTTGCAGCGTTGCGTCCAAACGTAGCATCAAAAATAATCTCAACTTTTCACTTTGGAACAACAGCAGAGCTGTGATTTTGTGTAAACGTCACAGTGACCTTGTTAGAGCCCACGTTTGGGTCTATAAATCTTCGTAAACTCTAATAAATAGCCCTGATAGTGTTATTTTTATAGTTTGAATTCAAGTGGAATCAGGCGCCGCAGTGATGTCCTTCCATTTGATTCCCTAAATGCAGACCGCGTGTCTCTGTGCAGTTGGCATTTCCAACGCCATTCTGTGTTTTGTAAATCACAGCTCATACTTAAACCGCGCCAAACCTCCTGGGGTGTCGCTGGCGGCCTGTCAAAGAGGCCTGGAGTTGATGTGACAAGGATTTTCTCCTGTCAGTCATGCTGATTGCTTCGACAGCTGGCTGGTGATAAAAATGGTCTCGACCTTCTGCACATTTCTGCCTATTTTTGGGAGTCATTCAGTAGATCTGATCACGTTTGTGGCGGTAGATGAGTCCACTTTGTCTGCTGTGGTATTTAAGATCTTGAAGGGTTGATTCTGCTGGGGGTGAGCATCCTTAAATGGGATTATGATTCTTCTCACCTGCCGTGTGTAGTTTTGGCGTGTAAGATTAATTTAAAAGGTATTTTAGGAAGTCTCTGTTTAGAGAAATAGCTTTTATGTCCCACAAGACTGGTAAGCTAAAAGTGGCGGTGATCTTTAAAATCTTTTAGGTTAAGGCAACCATTGTTTTAGCAGCTGCTAGCCTCATATTGTACGTTTTTTTCTGTCTGTGCCCCAAAATTGTGGAACTCATTACTTCTATTGCCGTTTTTAAATCACGCCTGAAAACCCACGACTTCTCCCTGGCCTTCCAACTCCCAAACCATAAAGCATGAACTCATCCGTAGTTTTTCCACCTTGCTCGTTCGATTTTAAATTTGTGTTTTTCTATTCTGGTTTTACTTGTTTTATTGGTTTTACTCTGTTGTTCTTTTAACACTTCTATCTTTTTCACTTCATGTGATATACACGACAATTTTAGCTTGTGTTTTTTATTATTTGTTTTTATGTGCAGCGCTTTGGTTGGTTGTAATGCCGTGTTGAAAGCGCTCTACAAATAAAGTGGTATGGTATGGGTTATTTGCATAAAAGTCTATAGTTAAAGGTACAACATGTAAGAATTCTATAGACAAATAATCACAAAACAGTCTAACATCGCAGTCATGTTGGTAGGAAGGTTAAATAGAAAAATATTTCATTCTCAGCCGGCTGGGGCTTTGTCAGTTTCTCTCCTTACTAAAAAGCCAAAGAGTTGCAGAGTCTGTGCTCTGAGCTAACTCTGCCGTGTCAGCATGTGTAATTCAACACAAGCTGAACAATGCTGAAAAAAGATGAAAAAAGCTACAAAGTTGTTTAAAGAACCAAACCCAGTAAACAGGAGCAACCCAGAAGTTATTTCTTGTACCCCTAACAAGCCACGGCATCTTTTTATTCTACTCTAAAATAGAGGGAAGCATGTCAGAGGTTAACGCTAACAATACTAACGGTGAATTAGAAACAAGTAGGCGGCTCTAAAATGTCTCAAGCTACTTTTTCAATTACCAAAAACTAGGGATGTCCAGATATAACTTTTTCACTTCCGATACGATACCGATATTACAGCCGATACCGATATCCGATACGATATCAGCACACATCATACATAATTTGACCTATTTCATAGTGTGGAATGTATAAACGGCTTGATCACGTGACTTTATCCAATCGGAGAATAAGAGCCAGCAACAGTTAGTAACCATTGGTCGCATTAATGTAAACCTTAAACATAATGGATAACAAATGAATAAAAAAAAAATAAATAAATGAAAAGACTAAAAAGATACCTGTTGTTTGTTTACTTCAAATATTTTTCAAAGTACAAAATACTAATTCAAGATCACTTCAGTTGTGTTTTACTGTCAGCAAACGTAGCAACTGCTGAGGGCAGGGACATAAAAAAAAAGAACACAATCTTGTCCATTTACCAACTGCTACAAGTGTTTTAAGTTTCAATTTCACACATTGCGAAAATCTTCACGCAGTGTTTTGTGACGCTGAAATTTAAAGCGGAACGGACAGCTTATTTCGGAGATTTTAATGCAGTCCGATATAATTCGATACAGGGTTTTTGGGTTGATTTCAAATTACTTCCGATGTCGATATCGGAACGGGACGTCCCTACCAACAACTTGATATTACAGTGAAATGTATTCATTTACTTATCAACTTTTGCTCGTCATCAGCCATCAAACTCATGGAACGGTAGCGAGTCTCTTTTCGTTTAGAAAAATGGACGGCAGTACCCGAATTTGAACACAGGATGTCATTCTTTGTTCATCCGTACATATTTAATTTTCACCGTTAGCAAAATAATGTTCTTCCGGTGCATCCAGGGGTCAAATTTTCCTAAAACAATCAGTCACTCACTCACTGCTGTCTTGTGTTTTGTCTTCCCTTGTTAAGTATTAATTTAATTCACCTGCCCCTCATTACCCTACCCACCTGTTTCCCTAATTATCCTTGTGTATTTAAACCCTCTGTGCTTGTCTGTGTCAGACCCTCGTCATGTCTTCCTAACTGCCATTATCCAACACAATATTTCATTTTTAAGCAGCCAACCTGCTCTCATGCGCTTGGGTCCATTTCCATCTCCACACATTGACACTTACTACATTTATCACGGTAGTCTGACTCTGGCATTAGAGGAAGTGTGGTTGTTTGCCTTCTTGCTGTTAGCTTGCTGTTCTGAACGACTCATTAAAGGAAGTAAAATGCCATGATTGACTCATTTTTCACGTCACACATTCATTTCACTGTAATATCGAGTTGTTGGTCATTGAAAAAAGTAGCTTGAGATATTTTTATGGCCGACAGTTTGCTTGCTGCAGATTCGACTAACTCATGGATAGTAAACGGTAGCTATGTCCCGCTTTTATCCCTCCATCCGGCTGAAAAGGAAGTCTGTTTAAATTGAACCTGTCTTCCAAAATAATTGAGATATTAGTCTGTTTTGAGATTATTTCATAGTACAAATTGCACCTTTAATGCTGTATAAAACATGTCTTATCTGAGGGAACCAGTGGATCAAAGGTTTGTTTCGGCATGATTCACCCCCCTTGATGTGCGACAGAGGGAAGGGATGACTTCCTTTTCTTGCTGAACCCCAAAAATAATATAACTTACCAAAAAACTGAGAGATTTGGTGTGAAAATGAGTAAACACGAGCGTCATTTTCTTCCCTGAGATTTGAGCAAAGACTGACGAGGGAGCTGGCTGGCAGATTCCTGCTGAAATGAACCAAACCAGCTGGAAAACCACAGCCGAGTTAAACCAAAGCAAACAGATTTTTGTGTTAAAATCCCAAAAGCACACAATTTACAGAACAATTCCATCACTTTATTGAAGAGAACTATGTTACCTATAGTGAGCTAATCATACAAGACGGCTTATTTGCGGATTTGTCCTGCCAGAGCTGCAGCACCAGA